AATGGCACTGTTTGGTCATAGACCATTTGAATTCATTCCCTTATGCCCCTAAGCCATCCTCTTTAGATGAGCTGCCCCAAATTTACACTCCATTAGGACTGTTTTCTTTGCTGCCCTCCTCTCACGTTCCCTGCCCACAGCAGCACTTCCCTCCTCGCCCATTGTCAGCCTGCTGAGTCCAAGGGAAGCTACCCAAAGGACAAACTGTCCCCAAATGGTGAGCAGAAATGGCAGGCTGGTCTCCACAGACTGCAGCACAGCTCTTATCTCCTCCTGCACTGAGCTCTGAGAACAGAGACGCAAACACAGACAAGACCAATGAACACTATTGTGAGGGGATGGCGAGTTGACAGTAATGTCACTCCCTGTTTGGTCCATACTGGCTTACCTCTCTCTCTCTCTCCTCTCTTTTTCTCCTTCTCAGTGCTCTCCTTCTCAGGTTAAAGTAAACATACAGAATTAGGTGCAATTGTTAACAACTCAGTGTAGCTGCTCTGCTGGTGGACTTATAACAATCTGTTTACCTGACACTGACGGTATATGCTGGAATATACACTGATTTTTCTTACCAAGTCTTGAAATTTCAGGTGGTATTAATGCCATGTTCCCTACTAGTGAGTTCAGCTGTCGTGTATATAAACACATAGACTGACTTAGTGTGTGAGTGACAGTAAACACTGGCATAGCCATCTGGCACCTCCACCTTCCTGAGTATCGGGTGTATAACTACAGACCATCAGCAGAGTATGCCTCCACTAGCATTTAAGACCTGTTACTATGGCGACAAGCATTAGCTGTGCCAGCATCGCTCAAATATGTAACAGTGCTAATTGAACATCAATACTGGGGAAGACAGCAGGCAGACTCAACAAGTCCAAGGACTGGACTGTGGAGCTCTGCTCTCAAGTGTAGCTCAATAGCCAGTGTGTCTTTGTGGTCAGATTAGCTTTCATCATGAGCCGTTTGCAAACACAAACACCTTCTGTCAAAGGCGTGATTGGCATCTCTCATTGCTTCGCCACACAGCATGCTTTGTATGTGCAAAAGCAAAAACTGTCAGAAATAAATTTCAACATAGACTCTTATTTCTCTTTGTTTTTAAAATCTATTTATTTTTTGCATTTTACGAAGTGCAGTAAATTCAGATACACATTAGTCCTATAAATGATTTTCAATATGGATTTCTACTTTTGTTTGTTTATTCATGTACACCACGGTGTGCAAAACTGAAGAGGAATTCATGTATGTGCTGTTAAAGCAGTGTGCAGGGCCACACACTGTAAAGCGCAGCTTTTTAATCAGTACAATTAAGCTGGACAGGTTTAGCCATTTTAGGCATCTTGTTGGGCTCAGAATTTTCTCAAATTGAGTTGACGCTTTACTGTCATCTCTTAATATCCATATTTAAAGGTCATCAATGTTAGGGGAAACCAGTGGTCAAGAGGAAATATACTGTATGTGTATGTCTTTACTGCAGATGGTCACGGTAAAGAAATAAGAACCAAACTGAAAAGGTTCAGCTGATCATTAGTACTGTTGTGATGGGCTGGCTGTGCTGAACAAGAGCAAATGATGCTTACACTAACTGACTCTACAGAACAGGGAGTAAGTGGGTGAAATATTTGCTCATGTGTTAAATGGCGGAGTTGATTCATCTGTCAGGCTTGTCGAAATTGAACACGTAGCTGTGGCACACCAGGCTGAGTCAGCCCGTGTCTGGACAAAACACACGGCTGCACTGCTTTCAAACACATGAATAACCCAGGTACTCTGCACCAAGCCTAATTATATTGTCCCATTGTTTATTATTCATGGAACTGTCCTGGTTGTCAAGAATGAATAGAAAACTTCCCTGTTTATCACAACACAATCATGTGTTTTAGATTTTTTTTAAATCTTTTTGCTCACTAGATAGTATTTTTTGTAATATTAGAAATTAAAAATAGTATATCACAGTGAATAATGTCAATGATGATCAATTAAACTGTTTACATCAGTTAAACCTACTGTTTATGTCATGGAGGCTTTAATTGGTCATTTACTATTATCTAGTCTCTAAATCGTTACAGATCATTAATCAATGAATTTATCTTGTGTACATTTTACGTGTACATGGGTGTTAGTCCTCAAAGCAAATCTCAAACAGCAGCAGAAAATCTCATGTTTCCAGCTGAATAATGTTGGAGGCAGCTCAATACAGGCCACAATGCATTCTCCCTGTAGTTCTCTCCATCACTGGGCTCTCAGGCTCTCCATAAAAACGTGTCTTGCCAAGGGATTATGACGTATACTGATCTGTTTAAAGCGTTAACACGCCAACAATACAGGACAAAGAAACAGCTGATTCTCTGTGTTCAAGACAATTTGGTTTGCACCACTATGTGTGTGCTGTCACATCCAAATTCCAAAAAGGATTTTAAATGAGGAGAGCAGTCGTGTTAAAATGCTTAAATGAACAACAAGCTTTAAACTTCAAAGGTATTTTTATGTCGTTCTCATCAGTGTGCATGCATGCTGTAAAATATGAGCTCTCTGTGTTTTTTTCAGTGGCTGTTTGTCCTTCAGAATGGACACCTGGAGGCTTAGCCAGCCCACATTAGCACTGAATTGAAGGATCAATGGATATGAATAGGAATGCCAATGCAATCTAGTGCTTGCACGGGAAGCATTAAAATTGACTGGACACAATTGATGCAGGTTGAAATGCCAATATTTTTTTGGATGTGAGGGAAATGAAATTAATGGAAAAACAGCAGATCTCAGATGTGACTTTGGTACTGTCTTCAGGCTGTTGTTTACTTATTGCTGTTTGTCCTTCACAGTATTTCTCCTCTATGGTCTGCATATGTGCACTTTGTTAATACGCTTCATGTCCATGTCAGAATTTATTATCATCATTATTATTAGATGTAGTGAGTAGTAGCAGTAGGGTAGGGGTAAAGTAGAGTAGTAGTAGTAGTAGTACTACTAGTACTAGAAGAAGCAGTAGTATTTCAGATAGTATGAATTAGGGATGTTCCTAATGACTAATTTCCCTTTCGATGAAAGAGAAATTTAGGTTTAGACTAGTCGACGAGTCCAAAAGTAAGAAAACAATGTATGTATAGTGACAATTATTATACCCAATATAATGGACTCATAGTATGTACAACCAATGGTCACTAACCAAGCAATATATACAGTACCATCATGCATTGCACTCGCACTGAAAGAAAGAAAAGCGGTGCAGAATAAATTACCCCAGTAGTGTCCCAAAGTTTTTTTTTCACTTTGCCAATGAGCTCACTATATAGTCATCTACACAGAACTCACTAGATAGTGAGTAGGAAGTATGAGTGAGTGATTTCAGGCAATCATTGCCAAGTGTGGCCAACGGTAGCAGTGCTAGTAGCCTTCTTACTTTGCAGGTTAATGTTCACATGCCATTCATTTTCTAGATCAATATGCTGCTAAACCACCCTGGTTTTACAAGATGTCATCCCGCTACTAGGTGGGACTGATCTGTCCCAGTTTCCACCTTGCTGCAAACCGACAAGGTGCAAATTAGGACAGATCAGTCACACCTAGTGGCGGGTGGCTACATGATATCTAAGGTGGAAGAGTTAACCAATTAATAATTAGTTTAACTCAATAGTATTTCACTTGCCAACTAGTGAGGGTAGCAACTACTACTCATGCACATCTGCAGTATGGTAATTTTGTCTGCATTAGATCAAGATAAAGATACCTGAAACATGTTTTGTGCATTTCATAATCACAATCTTCCAAGATAATTAATTTCTTCATTTATACAAATAATTTGAGTACAGGTCAGCAGATCATATAATACATGTAACTGTTCCGTCAGTACAGTATATGCATTAGTGCACATTGCACATTTAGGTTTGTCATAGCAGAAAAAGCACAGGTGTTACCATCAACAGTTATGATGGCTCTGTTCTATTCATGTGTCCTGGTAAGCCATGACAGTGTAACGGTGAGGCAGAATGCACAAACCCCTAAACTGAAACAGCTAAGTGAATTCAGCCATTATTAATTTTATTATTTACACCTGTGACTTTCCTACCGTGACATGTCAAAATGTCGACTGTGAAAAAGGCCTATTGCTGCGACCAGCCCCTTTTTTCCCTTTTTTTTTTTTTTTTTTGGTGTGCATTTACCAGAGAACCCGCGCTTATTTTATAATGCTTTGTGAGCATCTCTGCAGCAAAGAAAATTGCTAAACATTTTCCAGTCTGTTAACATGTGTACCCTTGCGTGCATGTTACTTTTTCATGATAACTCCTGTCTCCATTTGCCCCCGGAAACATCCTTCATAAGTAAAACATAAGGTAGCAGGAGCAAGCACACCATCACTAGCCATTAAGAAGCACTGTATTTACTGTAAATGTATCATGCATGAGCCAGTAGGTTTCTTGGCTCCTGACAACACTTGGCCTACATGCTGCCGTGGCTGCATGTAGAGAACTCTCCAGTTGATACTGCAAATTGCATCCACGGCACGCCTCACAACTGTTGATTGAATGTAATTAAGTTTTCCTCCTCTGCAATGAAGTGATTTTTTTTTTTAACTCCCATTTATACGTACTTGGTAGGAAAGAGTGGAGAAAGGAGACTTTTCATGAGTGTGTGTGTGTGTGTGTGGTTTAGAGGGTATCAGAATGCATGTTTGGTTAATATCCACTGCTATAAAGAGACAAATAATATAAATGTCCTTGTTTTTTTATTACATCTATTCCGATATGTTAAAGACACTGATATAAAAGCTAACATTATTATTGTTCTGTTTTAGTGGCTAAAATGGCAGCTTCTTTTGGTCAGTGCTTTCTAGAACATACTAGAGAACCTCGAGCAGTCTCCTCAGATGAATAATGCAGAGGCTATAACTAACAAAACGTTGCGTTTGAGTGCTGTGCTCTTGTCAAATCACGGTGACTTACTGGGTTCTAAATTCTGTTCTTTTTGCATCTTTTGCCTAGGAGAATGAGCTTCAAGATTTTCTCCAGGAGAACAAGCACTTGAACCTCCAGTTGTTCAAAAATAGCCACAAGGCATCTGAGTATGAGAAGGTAAGAGACAAAAAGCACATAGCTTTGACTCTTTGACCGTATACTGTATACATCTCAGCACACGCCATTCACATCTGTAATGATTTAGACTTTTGGACTATACTGTCTGTCCTATCAGTACATCTAAGACACAATTTTTAACCATTCTAGTGGCGTGGCTGTCTATATTACAATGCTGGTCTATTGGTCTGCTGTTGTCGGATAGATTGCAGTGAAATTTTGTACATACACAGAGGATGAATCCCAGTCACTATTTTGATCCCCCGACTTTTTCTGTACACCACCATGAGCTTGACATTTTTGGTTTTTTAGTGAAATATCTTGAAATTTATTGGAAGCTGTGAAATTTGGTACAGACATTCACTGCGCCCTGAGAATGAACTTTGGTGATCCTATGACTTTTCCTCAAGTGCCACCAAAGGTTTTAAGTGACATGTCTTGGCAACTATTGGATGGATTGCCAGGAAATGTGGTAAAGTCTCTCATATTCCCCACAGGGTGAATTGTTGTAACTTCAGTGATTCCTTAACTTTTCAGTTAGTGCCACCATCAGGTCAAAATTTCTGTTTGTCAGGATTTTGGTTTCTGACTGGACGAAACTAGTGAGATTCTCATTAGCCTCAGTTATACTTTTTGTTTGGTGCTGATGAGCAAATGTTAGTAATGCTAACCGCTAAACTAAGTGTGCATTATACCTGGTAAATGTTAGCATTGTCATTTTAAGCATGGTAATAATCTTATATTTTACATTTTGCACAAAGCATCGCTGTGCCTATGTGCAGCCTCACAGAGCTGCTAACATGGCTGTAGACTCTGTAGTTTTGTCATAGACCACGACCTCCCTGGTCTTACATTAACACTCTATCAGATGACTTTCTGGGCCATACTATAACTATAACGAACTGGCCTGAGGATTCTGGGTAAATTGAGCTGTTTTCCACTTTTCAGCATATGAATGCAAGCAGTGAGCTTCCAAGTCAATTAAAACATCCTCACCTTCCCAAGTCCTCAAAGGCCTTCGCAGCTGATAACACAAAGTCAAAGTAGATCAACAAACAAAGAGCACAAGGCCTCTCTCAATGGACAGAAAGGCAATTTCCTGAAGGAGCTGATTGGCAGGTGGTTGCTGTTGGGGTTGAAGAAGGGCAGAATGCTGGTTATTGATGTCTTATCAGGACTGGGGTGTCTCTTGGAGCAGCTATCCTGAACTGTTATCACACTGACGGATATGAGAGCAGCACTCTGCAGGGCAGTGCGGATATTAGCCCTCGCTTACACCCCCGTGTTCTGATCCCTATCGTATCTGAATGAACTAGGAGGGGCTACAAACGCCACCTCCCTACGCCCATAATAGACTATTGACCTGCTTCTGCTGAATCCAATATAGTTTTGTTTGATCTGTCTACATTAGGTCTGACAGTCGCTCCTATCCATGCGGGTAGTTTTTACTGTATGGAGGCGGGCTGTTCAGAGGCAGACTCACTAGTTTCTGTTTGTGTTTTGCTTTGCTGGTGTTTGTCGAAACGCCCTCCTGGAGGAATCATTAGTCATTCATGGCTGCTCTGAGGAAGGGGCTTTACCACATTACAGCTGCAAGAACCAGTCATGTCACTGCCGATTAGGGGCTTTTAAAAAGCTGATTGAATAATACTGCCTCTTAAGAAACAATACAACTGGTCTGTGGAAGACAGATTATGAAGAATATGTAGAAATAGAAATAGTCACAATTTTCAGATATTGCTCATAATGGCAGTATAGACCTCATTGGTGTTGAATTGATGTACAGTATTAACAAAATGTGCCATTGCTTCATTCCATTGAATGCTTAGTGCTTGGTTAGCAATGAAGCATGAATAATGTATTAATGTTTTGGTCTACAGCCATTACAGTCAGTGAATTGTGTTACTCTTGCATTATAATAACATTTAAATGCTTTTATCACCAAAACCAGCCAGCTCCCACTTCTAGCCTGTAACAACTTCTGCCTGTTATAAGTACTTGGAATGCTTTGAGTGGCATTAAAGCAAATCTTTTTTTATACTCTGGTGCTTAAAATCAACACTGAACACCAGAAAAATAGGAACAGCTGTACAATTGAAATCAATCCAAATACACAGCTCTACCCTTAGGAACTATATTATGGTCATTTGTTGTTGATATTGTATCAGAGAGGCACTGATTCTACGCTGTTGTCAACTGGGAGACTGTGTGGTGTTATTGGATTGGATCATATTGAATGGTGTTCCTGACATTTTCTCCACCCTAGAAAAAAGGAAAAGTGGAAAACTGTTGGGCCACTGCTGCAAGTGTCAAGTTAATCTGGCTGTATTTGATTTAAAATAACACCACTTACAAGAGGGATGGAGATATGACCAACAACCTAACAAGTAGTTGTTTTTGTGAGATGCTGACTCTGACACTCTCTCCTTCACCTTCAGTTCCTTTGCTTGAATCTAAAGAAAGTTTTTCCAGTGCTATTCAGTGAATGTGTCATTTTGCTACATTGACTTCGTCTGCATTTATGCATTCAATTTAAAGCTCTTGAAATAGTTCCTTATTCTTGGCAACATGGTCTGATTAGATAACGGTGATGGCACAGACTTTGAGCCACTCTTAAAGGTATCCTGTGGTGTTTTTGACCGCTAGTAGCAATATTGTAATGAGTGAGTGGCCATTTTGTTTGTATCTCATGCATTTGCACATACACTTTGACACACATGCCTGCTGATGGATTCAGAATATTACACTGATCATCCTGTGGCAGCGATGCACCAGCAAAAGTAGCAAGGCACCAGTGAAATGCAGGGAAGAAGCAGGCTGCATGTTACAATGCAATACAAAAAAATCTGCCTTGTAAATGTTTTATAGGAAATACATTCAGAATGTTGTTAGGTCTTAAGGATACACACAGTGTGCTTTGATGAAGAACATCCAATGTAAACAAAACTTTATTTACAAGAAAACTGCACAAGGGACCTTCGTTCTCTATGCAACAAAAACCCAGGCTGGGCACCTGCACTAAAGTAGTTCCAAAACAAAAAATGCAGCGGTAAATGTGCATTATATCCATCCATTTATCCATTCTCTATGTCTGCATTCTCATCTGTGTCAAGAGAGTGAACACTATATCTGACCACAGCCACACTGAACAAAGAGGGTGGTGGCTTTGGAGAGTTTTGCCTCATTAAACCTTTGCGTAGCAGGACAAAATGGTCAGGCCAGGAAATGTGAAAGGGCAGCCTCTTTCATAGATGAGCTAGACAATGACCTCTCTCATATCTGCAAAGAAAGACATGAACCTGCTAGGATTCCTAAAATGCCTTAAAAAAAATCAGTTTGTGGTAGTGTGAAAACCAAATATAAAAATGTAACAGATTAAAACTTTAAAAGCCTGGTTTGACCCAAAGAAGATAAACTGTAGTACAGCTACACTCTCAAACTCAGTCACTTTGCTCCTTGCTTGTCCTGTCTGCACAGGTGAAGTCTGAGTATGCCCAGCTCAAAGAGGCCCTTGGTGCTGTGACGCAGGAGAGAGATTTAGCCCTGTGGGAGAGGAACCAGCTCCAAGGCAAACTGGAGAACCTAGAGCAGGTGCTCAAGGTGAGGATGCTGGCTCCAAGGGCAGACGCTATCTGTCAATCCTGGGTGCATTTTCTAGTTCTAGTAGTCCGTCTATCCTGGGATCCTAATTCTGGTGTTTTTTACGGAGCCTAACCCTTTGCCAGTGCCCCTTCTCCTACCTGTGCTACACTGCCTCCATCTGGTTTTCTTCCACTATACTGTCTAATGTCCCTGACATGTCTGTTGCCTTCCAGTGTCGTGTTGGGAGTTCTGACCAGCGGCTGTGAAAGAGTAGAAGCTTGGAGCAGTCTGCCCCACTTTCCTTTCCTATTCCACCCTTTGATGTTCTCCTACCCTCCTTAACCTTTCCCTCCCTGCCTTCCCCCTGTCCCCTCTCCCCCAGCTAGATTTATAAGGTATCACTGCTATGTCCATCTGTTAGGGAGCAGTCCTATTCAGTCCCATTCTGAATGCTTTCTGTCCACCTCAGTGGCTGTGCTTATCTCTCCCTTTATCCGTGGGCTGCTTACCAGACATACGTATGGTCACCTGGCTATATGACCACAGCACTGTGGAATGTAATTTTTGCATGAGGCAGGACTAAGAGTTTGGCTTGTGACGACGGGGAAGGGGAGGAAGAAGAGATAGAGAGACTGGGTCACCCTTCATGATGATAATGTCACCTACAAGTTTGATGACATTACCTATCTTAGACCTTAATTTTTACTGGCATGAAAATGTCATTTGCTTCTTTCACCTGACAGTGTTGCAAATATTCACATATAGTGGGAGCAGTGATGTGACTGGATGACACGGGCATATTGTATTATGAAGAGCCTAGCATTCAGTCCCTTGTATTGTATGGCTTCTTTTGTTGTTATGGATGACCACAGACAAGTGAGCACGCTATGGAGTTTGCTCACCCTTTTCATGTAACGTAAAACCCTGTATTGATCATGCAAAGACAACATCGCTGAGGACAGCTTTTCAAACAGTCCCAGTAACCAGACTTCTAACAGGTATTGTGTTACCTAAAGGGGGCAGCAAACCTGACTGTGGATTGATGTTAGTTTTTTGTTCACACAGCAAAGCATCTCTAGTCCTCATCCATAAGCACCTTTGTGCAAATTTGATCTGATCTCTCCCGCGGATCATTTGACATAAACTGTTCTCACACGGCATTTGCTGTGGCAGAGTTTATGTCTTTCTTGGTGTTAAGGGTTTAAAGCTCAGTACACTGTTAACCAGCCTCTGTATGTGTGATGTGTGTGCACATGTAACACCTGTGTTGTCTCTGAGTGTGGAGGAGAAGACTGGAGATGCATTTTGTGTTGGCTCAGTGCCGTTGGATTTTAGTTCCACTAACAGCAGCCCTCTCTATGCTCCCCCCCACAATCCTCCCCCCCGGCTCTCCACCCTTGCACCCCCTGCGGACAGCATATGCGTGAGGCTGCGGAGCGGAGGCAGCAGCTAGAGTTGGAGCATGAGCAGGCCTTGGCTGTACTCAATGCAAAGCAGCAGGAGATTGACCTTCTTCAGAAGGTAAGGGAACTCATGGTACATAACACTCACAGCACCAGAGGGTGGGGCTTTCTTGTTTGCCCAGCCGGTGCCTGTGCCTGTGTCATGGGTCAAAGAGCTTTTTGTTGAGCACTGGTGCGATACATGCAGTGCAACAAAGGTGAAAGTCAACTCAAAGACTATACTATAGAGAGCAGAGCAAAGAATAGAGCTCTGTACAGGCTATAACACTCACTCCTCTCAACATTTTCATCACCCTCCCAATGCATCCTCTTAACCCCATCGTTCAGCTGTCTGTCACTCTCCAAACCCTGAGTGCTCAACATTTCAGGAGCACTCTTGTTTGTTACCAACGAGCAAATCAAACATTCAGAACCCAGAGTAGATATGACACTTTTTAGAGGCTTGCTTAAACAAAAATGCTGGCCCAGGCCATTTGGTGGTTGGTCTTCCTCCTCTGTGCACTGGAGCTGACTGTAATGTCAAAGCAAGCCGAGCAAAGGCTGAGATTGCTGATAGTGTGAACGTGATAAGAATTGTCACCAATGCCTTCTCTAGAAACTGTGTGTGTACCCCAGTGTCGCTGGTGCTGCAGTGTTGCTCTAACTTCACAGTCAGCCTTTCACAGGCAGAGTTCTCAGCTTCTCATTAACAGAAGCTCATTACTGCCTTATCTTCCTTCAGACACTGGCTGCACTCTGCATTCTCCTAAATTAATTGCCTGCAAAGTAGATTTATGAAATTGTAAAGTCCACAGATGCTCCCATATTCATGTGGAACACTTGTTTTCCTCAACAGATGTTTCTAGTTCCCATAAGAAAAATGGGATGTATTATGCTATGTTTCTGTACAGTGTAATGCTTCTATAATACCCAAACCGTATTCCTCTTGAATGCACTAATGAATTTATTATTGATGGAACACAATTTAAAATTTGTTGGAAATGATTTTTGTTTGCACTTTTCTTAGATATAACCACTGAAACATACACCTTGACAACATGTTCATTTTTTGAAATAACCATCTACAGTAGGCAATCATTATATAAAGAGAAATAATTGTTCAGTTTGTTTCAGAGAGGTGTTGATTTAAGTTGATGGTCATTTTAGCGGCTGCAGTTTGAGTTTGTGGTACTGTTGAATTGTACTGCGTTAAAATGGACAGGTGTTTCTATTATTTTGTCTACCCCATTTATATCAGTGAGAGTAGGCTGAATAACAGAGGTGTATCTCTGTATGGCATTATAACCTTCATGAGGAGTTATTGCAGGACCGTTCTAATAGACTGCATTAGTTTTAGCGAAGTGTACCTAGTAAACTGAGTTCACAAGTACCTGGGATCACAATGTCAGGACAGTTTACATAAATCAGGGGTCTTAAACTCAAATTACTGGGGGCCAGTAGACAGTTGTTCTTTCTTGGGGGGACACTTGAATTCTCAACTGAAAAAACTCTCTGAACTCTGTATACACTCACCAAATGTTAAAGGAATAGCTCTCTTCAACTCGTGGCCAGAAAGTGAATAAACATATTTCCCACAATGTAAACTATGTCTTTAAATGTCAGTAAGTTGAAAATGACATGATTTCTATCTTTGCGGGAACCATGGCTGTATTTGATCCCCGGGTCTGTAGTTTGAGACCCTTAGTTCAAATGTTCTCATGCATTTGGTATTCACAGGTAAGTGTAGAAAGTGACATATACATGCTTCCTTTATTATATCAACTTTCTTGCATGCACATAATTGTTTCATGATGCATTAATTGACTGTTTTGACATTAAAAGAAACTTAAAAAGAATAAATAAAATTGAAAAATTGAAAATGGTGTAAGAAAAGCCACAATATGTTTAGCTAGTTGTTCAGTTTATATGAAAAGAAATTAATATCTGCTAAAGTCAAGGCACTGTGGGTGAATGTTAACTATGAGGAAAAGAAATAAACTGCCAGTAAGTTTCATCCTTCAGTGCTGCTTCATATTATGTGGACAGAGATGAGTGACTTTCCTTTCACCCATTTTCACCCTCAGCACCAATGAATGAAAAGCTTTTCCATTTTGTTTTTCAAGACCTTTCATTGGTGTTTTAAACTGAAACTAAACTGCAATATAAATGAAAGTGAACTGAAACACTGCACCCTGTGTTTCCTAGGCTCAGGTTGAGGCTAAAAAGGAACATGAAGGCGCTGTCCATCTGTTAGAGGTGAGCGTCTGGACTCCGGGGGGGGGTTGTGTGTGTTTATGTGGTTGCTGCTGGAGGGTAAGGGACTAGACAGCCCTGGGGCAGACCTGTGTATACCTAGAGCCATTTCCTGCTCTTCTGGACCTCGCTAACTGAATCTTTGTGCTCCTGTTTTTTAGTTCTCATTTTTTAGATTATGAATCCGGGCTGAGTATATGTTGTACATTTTCACAATATTTCTAAAATGATGTGTGAAATACACATTCAGCCCTTTTTCAGAAAAGTGAATAAATCAAACACAGACTGTCATTATCTACCTTTTTATTTCTTTTTTTTTCTATTAGCCTTATAATAGGGGGATATGTATGCGTGAGTGTCAAAGCAGCCCATAATTTCAAGAGTCTTGTGCTTTCAAGATGTGTATGAGTGATCACATGTGTAATTGTGCTTTATTTCTTTCCTACATCTCTGTTCACTGTACGGGTGTGTGTTTATGCTTATACAGAACCACTTGGACAGCATGCAGGTATTTCAGAACTGCTTTTATTTATTTACTTGATATTTTCTTTACAACTTTCCCAGTAAAGTCACTATGGTATACAGTCTCCACATGTTTACTTTGGCCCAGGATGTCTGGTGATCTAACCTCACGTATCAAAAGAACTGTTCATCATGATGTCAGTTTTGAATTAATTTAAAACCTAATAAATATACAAGTGGTAGTCAGAGAGTAAAACGTAACATGAAGCATACACCAGTTATGAACTGATTTAATGTGTGGTCATTGCTTGGTTTTCTGAACAATTCAGAGCTGCTTCTTGGGCTTTACCACCAATGTTTCACATTTCCAATCAAGGCAAACTCACAAGTGGAGGGCTTTTTGATGACTGACAGCATAAACTGGACGTCTTTCTGACTTGATCATAAAGAAAAATTCAACTGCACTCACTTAACAATTGATGAAAAGATTCAGAAACTTTCAGAATATTGATCGACTGCCATTAAAGATAAATACCTGGGGCCTCACTGACTGACCTCATTTCCACATAATCAAAGCCCATCAACTCACTGAGTCATGTAAATTTAAATTTATAGGACCAGACATGTTTTTAAAGTGTGTGTTTACAAAAATATGACTACAATAAAGAAATTTAGAAAATATGTTTAATTAGCAAAATAAACTGCAATAAAACGTCCTTGTGCATTGCAGGCATTTTAGAATGAAATATTAGTCATTGTATGTATATAATGATGCATATAGTAATTATTAGCTGTTTGAGTATATAAGACTGTATTGGTATCAAAGGATCACATAGTATGCCAAATAGTGTTGAATGTGATCCTTTTCTGCTGTAGCTTTGCATGTGTGTTATCCAGCATGTTTTAAAAACGGTCTACTTGCCATACAGCTGAGAACTGTATGATGCTATTCAAACTAATACCTCTTAATTTACTAATTCTGTTTCACAAATGCGGGAATTCCTTTGTCGTCTGTTTGCTAACAGCATGTTATATCCAGCAACAACCAGTCTGCATGAAATGGACAGTGTTTTAACAGAACAGGACAGAAAGTACTGTTGCAGCAGGTGTAAAAAAAAAATTCCATGGTAGCTTCAGTATCCTCCGGAGCATCTCTGGTTCAGATTGTTGTCGGTTTCGGACTGAGAAGTGATTGCTGACGCATTGCATCAGTCAACTTGAGAAATCATGCTGTAGCACCTGGAATTTCCATTATTCCTGCCCAAACAAATATGTTCAATCTGTCAGTGTTAGCTTGTGCAATGACGTTCTCTGCTCTTAAAGTATGGCTGATGTTATTTTATATTTTTGTTATTGTTAATAAATCTCATGAAAAAGACCATTACCAACAATATTGACCAACTTCACTACCCTTCCCTTGTATGTGGCTCTCAGCCTGAAGACCCTTGATTCCCAGTACAGATGTAAATCAGATATTCTGTATCGTCAAATATATATTTTCATTTGTAAAAAAAAAAAAAAGGCAAAGTAATTCCCTCAAACAGCCACTGTAGTTTTTCTCTCAGATGTAAGGAGTGCATTCGCTGGGACCTATTTTCAGCTGTAGATTAATACACATATGGTGCTCAAGTGAATATTTATAGCAGTTGGACAGTGTACGGTATTTGGGATTGACTTGAAATAGACTACAGCGCCCATGTTCATCATAATGTAGGAACATTGTAGCCAGTGCAACAGTGTGGCTCATTGGCTACACCACTTGTTCGTATTACTGATTTTGGTCTTTTCATGGTATAACTTGACAATAAGTAAAAATACAGAATACTGTCAAGCTCATCCTCTAAGACTGTGCAGTGTGGGTTATGCATACTGCCTTGAAGCAAGAGGCTTTTTTTATTTTCAGTATTATTAACATTAACTGTACTGTAGTTGTGCATGTGATTTGTATACTGTACTGTCAGTAGTAGTTTCAAGTCATTTCAAGAGGTTTTTCTCTGTAATGACTGATCCAAATGTTATGAGTCCTACTGTAAAATTTAGTTCCATGTTCTATTTGTGTGTAGACAGTAGAGGTATAAATTCATATACGTACCTACTGTACATATGTGTGTCCAGTAGCACTGTGTGCAAAATGTTCAGTCCTGCATTCCGTGGTGTCCTTATTTTTCTTTTTCTTTTGCTTGTCTCTTCTTCCCACCCTGTCTCTCCTGTCCCCCCTCTGCCTGCCTGCCTGTCTCTTCTTTTCTTTCTGTCTATCGCTCTCTCTCTCTCTCTCTGTCTCTCACTCCTCTCTCAATGAATTTCCTCCCGCACCATCGTCAGGCCAAAGTCCGTGAGCTGGAGGAAAAATGTCGGACTCAGAGTGAGCAGTTCAACCTCCTGTCAAAAGAGCTGGAGAAGTTCCGGCTCCAGGCTGGGAAGTTTGATATCCTCAGCACTGAACCCTTAACTGTATGTGAATCTCCTGGGTCGCCCAACAAATCCCTGTCCCAGCTCCTTAATGGACTGGCTGCCCCCTTAGGAAAAGGTATGTGTAGGATCGTATTGATGCTCAGTACTTAAGAAGAAAAAGCTATTTTTTTTTTCTTTTACTCTAATATGTCTTATAGGTTATATATTAGTAGTTAAGCATATTTTTATCAAAGAAAATACTAATATTGATATATTCCAGGTGCTCCTTGCTGTAGGGATCTTATTTTCAAGTGTCTGACATCGGAAGTTAATAAATAAAAGGCCACCAAATGAACTTTGGTTGATGCAGCCAACTCTTACTGAAGTGCTGTGCAATTGAATAAATGTAACCGCTCTGTCATGCGAGAGAAGCCGTCAGTAACGCTCTACATATTAGAACAGGAGTCAGGTCCCTCACAATGAGGTGAAAAAACTTTAGCTGAAATTGGAAGTCTGGGAGAGCGGGCTTCTGACTTAATCTGCAGTAAACACAAACTGCTAATGAAATAATCAATCATAGTGAGAAATAGCCTCTAGCTGGCAAAACCTGTTCTCTGTTTGTTTTTGACTTGAATTCACAAATGCTTCACTAATTACAGTAGTATTTATCATTCAACTCTTGCTATGAAACTGTAATTAATAATGTACGTTTATAAGTGATTGGAAACTAAAGAGTATAGTACAGTGAGTTATCTACTCACATGATACCTGCTTAACACAAATATTTGTAAAATTACATCTATGCAAGAGTCTAGCTCTATACATACACACACACATATCGGGTACTGTATAGCAGTGGTTCTCAAAGTGGGGTCCAGGTAATTTGAGGGGTCCCCAGCAAAAAGGGGAATTATTTATTTTCCCTATAGTTCCATCTATAAGAAACACAGTGACACAATGTGTGACTATTTTGGCCATGGGTTTCAATCACTTTCTGTAATAAAGCATCTAAAAGTAAAAATGTTATCAGATGGGGCACCCTGGGACAAAACCTTATCAAATGGGGGTCCATGGTCTAATTTGTGTCCGATGTGTTGCCCTTGATGTGAAAAAGTTTGAGAACCACTGCTGTACAGGGAGCAATCAGATATGTTTGAGAAATGCAGAGGGTATTTATTGCTGTTCTTTTGGCTCACGTTTCATTTTGAATCAATGTGGGTCATCAAATATTTGAATGTTTTACTGTGTTATACTCTTTATCTCTCCTTTGTCTGTCTCTCTCTGTCTCTGAGATGGACATAGACTTAATGAACTCTTTTGTAATATGGTGGTTTTTGTCACAACTTTGACATCAGTTCACTTAGATTGTTGATGTGAGGATCTGATGAGAGAAGTTCTGTTTGTTCCACAGGCAATGAGGCTCCAACAAGCAGATCTTTGATATCTGAGTTCATTCGACCACTCCAGATCAGTGGAGACAAGCCCGAGCTCCTCTCTGTCAAGCCAACATTCCTCACTCGCACTCGAGGCAGCAGCCCAGCACGGGCTTTCCTCTCTGAGGTATCTGATCATGTCCGTTTGTATCCGTTATGGCTCCTGTTTTATTGTAACTTTATTCAAGCTACACAAGCTACAAGGCAAGACTATCTAAACATCCTAAATGACAATCAGGTGCTGCAATAGAGAAGAACAACCAATAATTTAGATCCTTTATTCTGCCCTGTTTACCCAAATGAAATCTTAGGTTAGGTAAAACTTAAGAGTGTCTCCTAAACATCATGAAGTGAGCTCAACTCACCAATGTTAGATCCGTTACCTCGCTCATACCTTTGTTGTCCTTTAGTTCAGACAGCCCTTTCAACAATTTTGGGGGAAAATGCTGCTTCATTTTAATCTAAGTAATGTGTTTGGGCTGAACAAGAGAAAATCCACACAGCAGGGATGCAGGAGGCTTCCTGGTTTCACTCATGCAAACAGACTGTTTGGGACTGATCATAATATTTTTAGTGCACAGGAAGTGAAAAATTGAAACAGGAAAAATATGATTATTCTGTTCTTTTGAAAAATAAAATTAGTTGGGATTGAAGGAGTTTAACACCTTGGCTCTGAACATCTTGGCGTGTTTAAATGAGTTTATTAGGTTCATTCTCTGTCCACTCTTGTGTTCTCAATATGAGGTGAAAGATGAAACCACAAAGAAGGAACATTCGATGTTAAAAGCAGGATTATTTATAAATTTTTTGTCTTCTCTAGATGGACAAAGAGCTCAGATCAACCACAAGGTCCAAACCAAGATTCACAGGGAAGGTTCGTCTGTGTATTGCTCGGTACAGGTACGTATATATGTATTATTGTTTTTAAAGCCTCATGTAATTGATTGAGCAGATAAGTATTTATAGTTTTTTCAAGTCCTTATAGTGCTTTGGAAATGTTTTAGTGGTTTAAGTGCATTTTCAAAGTAAACAGGAGCTTAGTGCTAACACTACAAGACCTCCCAAACAAAGGTGATGCAGCATAAACGTCCTAATGAGAGGGTAATGATAATTAAGAGAGTTGGTCAAAAGTCCTTGACATACCTCTTTACAATAAACTGAACTGGCTGCTCAGTGTAGACAAGTCCTGGGCAAATCTTGCTGAGATTATTTGCTTTCTCTCTCAGAGCTTTAGGCTGTGGTCTTAAAGACGATTCAGTGTTTCTATCTCTAAAGAAAATTACCTGTCAGCTCAAAAATAATTGGAATCCTCATAGCACAAATATGTGAAACAGAGCCAGAGCTTTAAACCCACACTGTCTTCAGCGCTGTCATATTTGAAACAAAATAAAAAAAAAAATAGAAACAAACTTAATACTTTTCAAAGCAGCACTCAGCAAATCGTTTTTACTTGACATACATATTAGAGACTTGCAGTGTTTGACATAAAAGAACCTATGGTGGCGGAACACTTTGGCAGGTGATTTGTGCATTTATGTTTTTTGCTTTAGTTACAATCCTTATGATGGGCCCAATGAGCATCCTGAGGCAGAGCTCCCCTTGGTGGCAGGGAAGTACCTCTACGTTTACGGGACAATGGACGAGGATGGCTTTTATGAAGGTCTGACCTGCCTTGATTACTGTTTATTGTTTTGTCTTTAATATCACCACAATACCAAGTATGTCTTGTTTGTTTCTCAGGAGAGCTGCTGGATGGACAGCGGGGACTCGTCCCATCCAATTTTGTGGATTTTGTCCAAGATGAGGAGACACCCTCTGTCCAGCACAGGGACACAGTGGCTAAAGAACCTGGCTACCTCAACCACAGTAGCCTGGGGCCTCAGAGACTGGGGGTCGGCACAGGAACAGGGACAGGAACAAGCATAAGCAGCCTGCTGTCTGACAGTAAACTAGACTGTCTAAGCACCAGCAGCTTGGGCATGGACCTCCTGGGCTCTTCCAGCAATGGGACAGGAACCCTGGATGTCAGCATTGACGAGGTCGGTGAAGACATTGTGCCTTATCCCCGCCGCATCAACCTGATTAAACAACTGGCCAAGAGTGTAATTATTGGCTGGGATCCTCCTGTGGTCCCACCAGGCTGGGGCTCCATCAGTGGCTACAATGTCTTGGTGGATAAAGAGGTTCGCATGAGTGTCCCCTACGGGGGCAGGACGAAATCGCTTATTGAAAAGCTCAATCTGGCCACCAACACCTACCGTATCTCTGTGCAGAGCATCACTGATCGCGGCCCGTCGGACGAGCTCCGGTGCACTCTGCTCGTGGGAAAGGATGTGGTGGTGGCACCTTATTATTTGCGGGTGGACAGCATCACACAGGTCTCTGCTGAGCTCTCTTGGATGCCCAGCAACAGCAACTACAGTCACACTATCTTCCTCAATGGTGCAGAGTATGACATGGTCAAGGCCGGAGGCTACAAGTACAAGTTCTTCAACCTGAAGCCCATGACAGTTTACAAGGTGAAAGTTGTGGCGCAGCCGCATCAGGTGCCTTGGCAGCTTCCGATGGATCAAAGAGAGAAGAGGGAAATCTCGGTGGAGTTCTGCACTCAGCCTGCAGGTCAGCCTCCAAACCTTTACTCACATTCACCCTTCTACTCTTCAGTAAATGCAGGGACTTCTTCCTATGTGGTGTACGGTCGTATAGCCATAGCAAGACCTACAGGGATCAGTCTAGCCACACATGCATGGCTGTAGGGATGGAAATGTTGGTCTGTTGGTTGGTCAGAAGGTCCACAACTTTGGTCCAGACTGAAATGTTGCCATGAAATGTAGTACATATATCCATAGATAGCCCAGAGCATGAATCCTAATGATTCTGGAGATCACCCGACTCTTCTTCTAGTGCCACTGTGAGGTTAATATTTGTGTTTTTGAGTGAATTATCATACCAGCTGTTAGATGCATTGCCAGGGAATTTCGTGCAGACATTAATGCCCCCCTCAGGATGAATTGTAATAACTTTGGTGATCCCCTGACTTTTTATCTAGTGCCATCAGTGGGTCTGAATTTTAATTCACCCAACACTTAAGGTCATTACGAAATCCTGAGAGACTAATAACATTCTTATTATCCTCGGCTGTACTTTTTGTTGAGTACTAATTAGCAAATGTTAGCGAGTTATCTTACACTAAGATAGTGAACATGATAAACATTATACCTGCTTAACATCAACGTGTTAGCATTGTCATTGTGAGACATTAGCATTAAGCTCAAAAGCAGCTAAACCTACTACCTGAGCCTTTTTTTGGCCACTTGCTTTTTAACTCAAAAAAGCAACATTAGCATTAATTTGGAAACATGATTTTAGCCACCTGGAAAATGTAAATCTTCTTTTAGCTCCTTTAATGCCTGAGAAAAATATGTGGCTCTTTGTGGCTGAGCAGGTGGCATACTGCCTGCTTGCTGTGGCCACAAACAAGGTTGATGAGAGCCCTCTGACTGAACCAAAGTCTTAGTTTTTTTAGTGACTCCAAATGCTGTCAGTATGTAAGTTTTGTGTAAGTTGTATTTATGATAAACTCTTGTAACCCCAATGCAATTGCTGTTCTAGTCTCATATTCTGTTCTGTTTCAAAGTCATCTGATATTTCACAAGGAAAGCCATCTGATAATTTACATCCAACACAGCCATATATTTATTTACTCAGCCACACGCTCCAAGCCCATTACATTTACAAACCTGACAAACATCTCTGCCATTTTCATTTTTCCCCAGCCACTCTGAGATTGCCCTCAAGGATTTGTGTGTGTACTACTGTGATAAGACACATGCATGGTAAAGAAAAAAAAGAAATGAAAAGTGCAATGAGAAAACGTGGAAGAAGCTTTTGCTGAATAGAGCTACATAACACTGGAAACAAGAGTCTCTCGAAGCCAAATTAGTGTAAATAGTGAGCGCAGATCTCTGGGATTATTTCTCCCATGAGAATCGTTGATGCTTTGCTGTTGCCAGCGTTAAATTGGGTCTCACAGTCTGTATGTCTTACTACAGGAAATCTTTTAAAGTGAGAATGTAATAAGAGTGAGTCTCTCCACAGCCAGCTACATTTATGACATTGTTTTTTGTGTGTGTACGTCATAGTATAGGTCCAGTGTAATTAGCCAATTGTGGGTGCAGATAAAATATGGTTCAGACATGTCACATTGATGCTTTTTCTATGACTAAGTGCTCAGCGTAATGGGATTGTGATTATTTATTTTAAGGAGACCAAGACCCCCATCGTTCAGGGTCTGGGATAAGATGAAAGCAGATTAGAAAATTATGAAGACAAGTAATGAGTTGAAAAAAGTGAAGGAGATACAGGAAGGACACAGAGGGTCTGAGGGAGAAAGAAAGAGCAGGACAAAGATAGAGTGACACTGAAGTTTGAATTGACGTTTTCTGTTGGCAGCTGACGAGCTAACATGCTGAGAGTTCATTAAATGATCTGTCTATTGAACATGTTAATCAGAGGCGTCTGAAATAGTCTCGTTATCGGTGGACGACTCAATAAGGAGGACAGTGTCTGGAGGCACTGTATTAGGCTCTCATACTCAGCATGTGCTCTTCAAACAAGTGACTTCATTAGTTCTTAGTGATAACAACATTTTTATTAATATTAGTCACAGGGAGCAGCCCCCAATTCCCCTGCCTGGAAATCAGTGTCTGCTGTTTGTATCCAGTATCAATGAAAGTGGCTCCACTGAAACATTCATTTAAACACTCATTTCAGTTCTCAGAGGAGCTTGTTGTTTATGACTCGTGTAGTTTAAATATGAGAAGAGGAAATGAAATCTCCAAACAGCCACTGCTGCTGTTCCAAGGCTGTGTGTGTGTGTGTGTGTGTGTGTGTGTGTGCGTGTGTGTGTGTGTGTGTGTGTGCGTGTGTGTGTGTGTGTGTGTGTGCGTGTGTGTGTGTGTGTGTGTGTGCGTGTGTGTGTGTGTGTGTGTGTGCGTGTGTGTGTGTGTGTGTGTGTGTTGTCTGCTGACAGTCAGTGTAGAAATGTGATTAAGATTGTGTTAATGTAGACTTTCGGACCCCCACACAAACACACACACACACACACACACACACAGCTGCACGTTGCAGCTTGGAGATACTGCTGACTGCATCTGCTCGCTCTGTCTCACTGTGTGACTGCAGGGGAGCAGCAGCACTGCACAGATGGGTATGTTGTTTAGTATGCAGGCAGTGCTGACAGATTGTGGAAATAGCAAACTGTGTTTTTTTGACGTTCCATAAAATATTGTCAGCGAGTATCTGGCAACAGGATATTGCAGTGCATACAGTGATGGCCGAATGTTGGTGAAACTAGCTTTTTCAGCCAATGTAACATCTTCCCCAAATGAATCTGGGGATACACACCACAAACCTGCACAGAGATGACTATGAATATAAAAAATCATCCTACAAATTAAAATATTGGAATAAATAAATTCTCAATTCAGCTGTCACTGACTCATTGTATCACAGCAAATGCCAGTGGCAAATGACATTTCAGTGGAATAATTTAGAACATGTAACACGGTTCCCCTTGAAGGAGGATATCCTTATTTCATACCACTGTGAAATGGTTCCTGAATATGAGAAGTGCATAGTACTGAGGTCAGCACATTCATTGTTTTGATCAATTTGGCAGAAATGGTTCAGCCACTGTTGAGCTGTGTTTTTTTTCTCTCCTTATCCAGTGTGTGTGTTGTGCTCCCCAGGGCCCCCTCTCCCTCCCCAGGAGGTGCAAGTCCAGTGTGGTCAGACTCCTGGGGTCCTGCAGATCAGATGGAAGCCGCCACCTCTGACACCTTCAGGAACCTCTAACGGGGCCAGTGTGATTGGCTATGCTGTGTGCACAAAGGGACAAAAGGTACCAAATGTCATACAAGTCACTCTTACGATACAGTTTTTTTAAAAAGTGGCCTTTGCCTTCTTCAGTGGTGACTTCTGTGAGTAGTGCTCTATTGCCATCTCCTGGAGAAATGATGTAATGCTGATATTCAGCTCCCAGGGGCAAGACTTGCTTCAGACATAAATTCAACAAACCTGTGTGTTATGATAATATGGAATAATCGGGTACTTCGCTTCAGCCAGCAGATAAGAGAGCTACAAGTGCATGTAGTCATGATTTTATGATGGTGTGGTTCAGAGTACGTACTTTTGCATGCTGACATTCTGAATTGCCCTTTGGTAAGGACTCTCTGGTTCCTTTGTGAATGCAGATAGCAGAGGTCTTGTACCCCACAGCAGACTATGTGACCGTGGAGTTAAACAGGATTCAGTGTCTGGAGGCCAGGGAAGTCATTGTAAGGACGTTATCGACTCAAGGAGAGTCCCAGGACTCGCCAGTGGCCGTCATCCCGCACAATCTCTTGGGATCTCCACGTCTGTCCCACCGAACCACTGCGCCTCCCCACCCTATCCCTCACCCGCAGTCCCACCCAGTGCACTCACAAACCCATCCTCCTTACCCATCAACGTACCCCCCAAATCACCCTCAGCCCCAGATGCAGCCTCTGCCTCGAGCCCAGCCCCACACGCTGCCCCACGCACAGCCACACTCACAGCCCGTCCGTCACCCTCCTCCTCCTCCTCCTCATTCCCAGCCTCATTTCCAGTGCCACCCCATGCCCAAGTCCAAGACGTTAGTAAGTGCCAGAGAGCCAGAAACCAAAGAGCATGAGGTGGGCCTGCGGCCAGCCCAGCCCTGGGAGCGCTCCCCCTCTCCGCTGCCTCCCATGCGCGGATCTAACTTAGAGCCGCCGCACTTCCAGCCACGGCGATCGCCCTCTCCACAGAGGATCCTGCCGCAGCCTCAGGGAGTCCCCATCCCCAACACCATCGCCAAGGCCATGGCCAGGGAAGCTGCCCAGAGAGTGTTTGCCGAGGGTAACCGGGTACGTGGGGATTTCTTATTAACCAGAATTCATCTCAGCATGTGACAGCATCTAGTACTGAGCCTGGAAATCATATTTTGCATTATGCTATTGCAATATCTGTCAGGGTGAGGAGCTATTTTCCCTTGTTTGTTTTTTGCTTTAAAAAACCATTTACACAACTATTGGTTTCAAGATAGAATTGTTTGTCTCTTGAAAATGACTATGAAACTACATTTGCAAAAAGTAGAAACTAGTTTAAGAAAAAATAGGATTTCAAGAATATTACACTAAATTATTTGGATCCTTGTTCAATCTTAAAGTCTAACATTTCTCTTATCAGGTTGAGAAAAGGAATATCTTTAGTGAACGAGGTAACGCCTTGCATCCACTCAACTCGGATGAGGAGGAGGATGGCTACGACTCTCCTCATGCGAGGAGGAGAGGAGCCTCGGTGGATGAATTCCTCAGAGGCTCAGAGTTGGGCAGACAGGTACTTTACAGAAAAAACAGCCAGCTGTGCTCAGCCAATCATTGAGTGCTCATCTCTTGTTTCTAGGAAGAACATGGAGTCAGTTACCTACATGTAGGCAAAATCAAACTGAATCAAATCAAATCCCATATGAATCAAATTGAAGCCCTTCTTAATGTGTATTTCTGTATCTATATTCTGTCAGTATTATAGACTTTTATTTTCTAATTTTCTGCCATCTATTTTTAGTTCATTTTTTAAATAAATATTTTCAAAAAGTTTTAAAGAATCCAGTTTTAAACTTTTAAAATTTTGGCAAAACATTAGAATAATTTTAGAGTACACTGTATTGTTATATAATTATAATATATTATAATTATTATATATTTTCACCAATGCACATAACTTTCTGTCCTTAAGGTTAACGTTGGTGTTGATCACTCACTGCTGTGGTACTCTCTAAGACTCTATAAGACTATAAAGTTATGATTTCTACCTAATACACTTCAACTTTCTCTCTCTTGCTCTCCCTTAGCACCATCATTACCACTACAGCCACAGCGAGGAGTACCACACAGAGAGCAGCCGGGGTTCGGACCTGTCTGACATAATGGAGGAGGACGAGGAAGATCTTTACTCTGAGATGCAACTGGAGGAGGGCCGCAGGCGCAGTATCAACTCTCACAACACTCTTAAGGTATACTTACTGCACGCCTTCACTCTGTGATGGCCTGGGGGAGGAAGGAGGAGGGTGGGGAAGACGGGGGTTTAGGGAGGCAGGGAGGGTTTTGCCACCTGCAGTGGTACCTGCTCTCTCTCACAGGCTCTACAAGTAAGCCCGTTGTGGCTTTGCCTGGCTGAGCTCCCCCGCCTTGCATTAGCTGAATCAGCCTCCCCACCCCAGCCTGCTCCTCCACCTCGACCCTCCAGCACTGCTTTATTCATTCAAGGCTGAGCTCATGGGAATGGCTGTGTATACATAACTGTACAGCATGAGAGAGGGGAAGGCTGTAAACGGAAAGCATAATGTTCTTTAAGGTTTGCATTGCATTTTGATGCTCTTTATACTGCACCAAAAGAGTACTACAAGGTTTAAAGTCAAATGTTAGAATGTGATATTGAAGTGTAAATATTAATATACTGTACTGTATCAAAGGGTCATGGCATATCAAGTGCATATGGGAATCTCATTTAAGTGCGTACTTAAATGGAAATATTCACTTTTGTTTTTATGTCTGTCACGTCCTGATGTTTAATTTTTCTATTGTCGATGTAGATGTTAACATTGTCGGTACACAATCCTGTCTTCATTTGGTGTGTCAGTGGGGATGTGTGGATATAAAGCCAATCTGCCGTGTTTTCAGAGTTGGAGGTACTGTAGTGGCTGATCTGTCCTCTGTATTATAGTAGACTTGCTATCAGAAATCAGTACATTACCACTGCAGATTTGTTTAAGTTATCCCTGCTTTTGTACAGTAATGTGGTGTTCATGAGGGGTATTCACTGGTGCATTAACTTTTTAAATACACCAATGCAGCATCTCCTCTTTGTCATTACCATCTATTTGTAAATCACTGTTGCACATTATCCATCCCCGTCTGTAAAAATATTACTGTTCTAAAATATGTATAGTAATAATACATTTAAATTAGATGTTGTTAAGGGAATAGATAAAGGTGAATTGTCAAATTTGCTTCTGCCATTGTTTTCTGTGAGGGGAGTTCTGTATGTTTCACTCCATCTGAAATTGTTGCTAAACAAATGTCCTAATGCAGTTTGTCCTCAGTAGCTAATTCTCCTCCTCACTTAGCTTCATGTCTTCAATTTCTTTTTATTATTTTTTTTTATTAATTCATTTCATCCACATTGATGTTTTCATTTATCCCTCACCCATGGAACTAACTAAGCCTGTCACATACTTTTTGTTTGAATATTTCTGATTTCCCTACTCCAGATTTAACCTCTGCCCACGCTCAGTTTATCAGTTATCACTCCATATTTGAGCCTTCACAGATTCCTGTTCAGAGCATGCCATTTCCTCCTCACGGAATGAGACTGCATGTCTTACTACATTGCCACAAATAACTAATTCTGTCTTTATTTTGTCTTTCCCCCCCATTTGTTCTATTCACATTCTGTGTTGTTTCCTGCCTGTTCTAAAAACCTTCGAAAAACTTTTCAACCCCCCTCACAAAACTCTAAACTGAACCTTTTGAATTGAACATACTGAACTGTGAAATTGTGGAACTTTGCCTCCTGTGTTCATGACTGAAGGCATATTACAAGCGTCAGGACTTAGCTGAGGAGAGAGACTGCTGGGACCTCCAGCGGGAGGTGGTGAAGCAGAAGTCGCTCCGGAGCAAGCGTCTCCACAGCATCCCCGAGGTGGCCGAGGAGGAGTCGGAAAGCATGGACAGCATGGGCCAACGCCTGTGCTTCGAAGAGGGCGGGCGACCGGGAACGCCACACACTCAGCGGAGGATGTACCCCCAAGACACCCACATGTACAACCATCTCACCCCCAGCAAGACCTCCCGCCACCTGCAGCGCCAGCGCTCCTCCCCTCGCTTCACCGATAGCCGCTACTGCTACAGTGCAGACGACCGCAGCCTGGGACGCCCCAACCGCCAAAACACCAAGAGTCCTGACAGTGGTTTAGACTGCGGCAGCGAGGAAGAAGGCTCTCTAGGGCGGGGTCACCGAGGCTACTATGCTCATGGGAGCCCACTGCGGGGACCTGTGCGCATCATTCACTGTGAGGGCCCGGTAGAAAGGCGGGCGCTGGCTATGGGCCGTAAAAGAACTCTGACCCGCCAGTGCAGCGTGGAGGAGGACTTCTCTGACGTTCCAGTGACTGCAACCAAGTCGGTACACAGGGGCGACTTTAGGAACAGGGAGCACTTTGGGCCTGGTCGGGAGGCCGGGCCACGAAACTACTCCAGGGAAGGGGCGCTGAGCGAGGGCAGGCTGAACGAGCTGGACAGGGTCTATTACAGCCCCCACAGGGAGGCTAGGGCCCAGTCTTTGTCCAGGCTCAACCGGGACCAGCCGCTGGTGTGTGATTCAGACTTTCTGCTGTACTTTCCATCCACAAGCTGCAGCCATTCTGTTTTCTTAATGTTGTTTGTTTTTCTTTATAATTAACCCCCTTCCTTTCATTTGGCATTTTGATTTTCATCTTATGAGAAATTATCACACGTTCATGGTTGGTCTGATTTGATGTTTTATTTTTGTGTGAATTACTTTGCTTGTACTCAGAATGTCAGGTGGATTTTAAAGTAAAGCTTTTAATTACCTAAAGGCCATTTAACTAAGTTTTGATTTCTCATGTCTTTGAGGGGAAAGGTTCCATTTAAAGGAAAGTCTCTGTGCAGTGCATGGGAACGTGCTGCTCCCGTCTTCTCTGCCCTTACCCCTGCTCTCTCTCTCTCTCTCTCTGCCAGCTGCTGGCTTCTTATGTCGCTCTCCATGTCTCGCCTCCTAGAGCTGCAGCCATAGTGCTCCACCTTGTGATAGGAGCTTTATTTCACCATCTCCTGCCGCTCATTGCTTCATACAGAATAAGGCCGGATCCAGACTTTTACAGCCTGCTGTGATTCATCCAGCCTTCAACCCATATGCAGCACTTGCTTGTCTCGTTCACTTGTTTCAGCAAAAAATTCTCATCATGTTCATCATCACTACCATATAATAAATGTGTTGATTGTTGTAACGCAAAGCCCCAGGCTGAAAATATAATGGCTTTGCTCATCTAACCACGTCATTATCCATTTTCAATCACACTCACATCCACTTTTTTCATTTTCTTTTCATCCTCTCTCTCTCTCTCTCTCTCTCTCTCACTTCTCTCATCATTTCAGTCTTTTGTGCCATCATTTGCTTCCTTTTCTCATCAAGGAGCTGACATGCACAGAACAAAACAAACCAAACAAATGGTCTTTAGCTAAACATCTGACCCTTTCTAACCCCCAGTCCATGTTGTTGTGTTGGGGGTTGATTTGATTTTCTTGTTTTGGTGGTTTGTTGTATTCTTTTATTGTTTTATAGATTTTCTTTACTATTATTTTGCCTCCCTAAGGACAAATGGAAGCCACATCATTTGCTCTTATGGTTTTCAGTTGTTTAAACAGGATTGTGGGATTCTTTTAAATGGTTTTAAGTGTTAACGTGTCTTGACATTGCAGGTGGTTTGTTGCTCTAATCTCTTATCTGTTGTTTTTCACTCTAAAGATCATTGGGAACTCACCATCACATGGAAGCGCCGATCGTCTGGACCACTCAGGGAGGAGGCCGGTTCACATCGGCACCCCCCCTCAGCGACGACCCATTCCATCCATTGGTTAGTGAGGTCACCACATGAGGAGACGCCTCATCCCCACCTGCAGGGCCACTGATGTTTGTGCTATTTATACCATGTGTTTCCCTTACCCATGTGAGCCGAGCTGTACATCTCTCCCATAGAGCTTAAACAAACCACGTAGACCCTTTTTTTGTGGGGTGTTTGCACACCCTCTAGCTGTCCATCCTCATGAGCTGGATTCGCCAAATGTCCACATGCAGTTTTGCAGGAAAGTTATCCCAGATGCACTCCCTATGCCTGTGTTTACTGTGGGTTAACATGTTTACATGACCACCCAATCTGACCTCCCCGCAACAGTAAAAGCATTGCTGTTTTACACCCAGTGACTCCAGAGTGAAACCTGTTGCCTTGTACACCCCCTCCCCACCTCAGGGCAACGTCATCATCCTACTGTCTCAGCATGAGTGAATGGGCCATGGGGTAGAGCAGAGTGTGTGTGGGGGGGATCTCTGACCGTAACGTTGTGATTGGTGTCTTCTGTAGAGATCACCATGGACAGTAACAGTGAGGGGAGTGAGGGGAACCTCTCACCCGTCAAGGAGGATGTTTACTATGGCAGTGTAGCTCGGCGCAGGATATGGCGATCTATGTCCTCAGAGGATCAATATGGTATGTGATGCAGCTTCTCTCCAAGATGACAATTCACCTTATCAATGCCAGAAAAGGCCAAGAATCGTTCTTGAACACATGCAGTGATATCATGGTGGTCTTTGTTCTGTGCTGGGCAGTTAGCTGCTTTGTTTAGTTTAGCTTAGCTTAGCTGAATAAAGCTGACGGGGGAAGACAAGACTGGCCACTTTTTCCCGTTGCTGGAGAATGAAAATCCTTTTTCCTGTCTGTACTCCTACTCCCTCAATCCCAAGAAACCCCAAACCACCCACTCTACCCATTCACCCTCCATAACCTGGCCACTCTCCCACTCCACCACAACTTAGCCCGCCCTCCTCTTCCTTAACCTTTTCTGCCACCTCCTCTTTTCCTTCTCCTCCTGCCTTTATGAGCCAGCAGCCCGTTTTCTTTCTTAATTTTGCATGAGCTGTTTACAATGCAGTGAGAAGGAAAGACACATTTCTGGAAGAGTTAGTGCATTCTTGCCTTGTTGGTATCACTCAGTTGCACATTCATTTACTCTGCTGCCATCAAAATCAAACATGTTTTACCGTTGAAGCACGTTTTACATCTTTCAAAAAAGCATACGTCAGTTGCTTAGTTGGTATTGGTTGCTATATCTCTGAGCCATTATTCAGACAATCTGCCATTGAAACATTTAACATGGTGATCCATGAGAAGCATGGAGAACTGATATCAGGTTCATCCCTTCCCCCTCACTGTCCCTGATATCTGTGTTGCCAGGAACTGCTGGGGCATTTGATGTGTTCTCTCCCTCGGGACCGTGCCTCCTTTGCCCTTTTTACGCTGCACATTGTTTCCAGATGTGGCCTAAAAGCATGACATCACACCCGCATTGGATGTAGGAATGCTCTCCTCAACATGTCCAGTCCCAGCAAAACATGCATGTTAATCAGCCTCTGTGAGATAAGGCAGTGAAACAGCAATGAACAATAGTGCAGTGTTACTTGTGTCATTCAGTTTCCCTTGCACCCCAAAAACTGCTTGACATGTGTTTCCTGTCTGTGCTGTGTTGTACTGTGTCCTATGATGTTTGGTGACTGTCACGCCAGCAAGCAGAGATGTGTGAACGAAGAACCCTGCTGTGCTACAATTGTACCGAGCCTTTCTTGTAAAAACGTTGTTCGCTTTTAGTGCGTGAACACAACAGAAGAAACGAGATTAAAACTAAAAGTATAATTATTGCATTCGATCTCTGGCTCTTTTTTCACACATGAATCTCATCGCCCTCTCCCCTGTCAGCTCTAACAAAGAGACATCTTCTGCTCTCATTGCCTCTACAGCCAGCGTGGCTGTATAAGGCTGGTAGTAGCAGCAGAGGCCTCCTCTATGTTTCAGACGGCTATGGCGGTCGCAGGCACGGGCGGGGACGGCGTTCCCCGGATTACTATGAGGAATCAGAGCCAGAGGAGCTGACCCGTGTGTTTGTGGCTCTGTTTGACTATGACCCCCTGTCCATGTCTCCCAACCCTGATGCTGCTGATGAGGAGCTGCCATTCAAGGAGGGCCAGATCATCAAGGTGGTGGCTTGATTCTTAGACACTACTCTACTGAGATGGATATGTTTCATACCTAACTAAAAAATAAAGTAGAGAAATTATGCTAGACTTCTCATTTGTCTTTTATTTCTTTAAAATCGCCCATGTTTGAATGCTGTCTAAAGTCCTTAGAATTACACATGAATTGTAGGAATCTCTGGCCAGGTTTGATGGTATCTGGTTGGATGTCTTCCCCTGACACTCTGTCGTTCCTTCAGGTGTTTGGGAATAAAGATACGGATGGCTTCTACAGGGCGGAGATTCGAGAACGAGTGGGTCTGATCCCCTGTAACATGGTCTCTGAGATCCAAACAGAGGATGATGAGATGATGGACCAACTCCTTAAACAGGGCTTCCTGCCACTCAACACTCCTGTGGAGAAGTTAGGTCAGACATCGTTTTCCCCACAGTATCCCCTCAACTTCTTTTTTTTTTTTTTTCTTTCTTTGACCTTATACCCTTTATGTCTTTATGGGCAACTTTATGTTCTACTAAACTGTCTTTTACTGACGCATTTCTCCTTTCCTCTACTCCTCTCACTTAATTATTTTTTTCTGCTTTCCTGTGAAGTGAACTGCGACCGTTTCAAAGATGGCCGCTCAATAAATCGCAGGTCCAGAAAGTCCAAGAGAGGTCTGTGCCCAGTGAAATGCTCTTCTTCTCTCTGCTTCATCTTTCCTGCTTTTTTCACTCCTCGCCATCCCTTTTCATCTGTGAACTTTTGACTAATTTCTCCTATATTTACTGTCACTAAGCCTTTCCCCAACTACTAACATGGACATAGTTTACTTTGAAATCCAGATGATCACATATTGCAAAGACTGTTGGACTTATGAGGCTATTATGTATCGTCACTGGTCATCGCATCCTTCAGTGGAGTTCTTATATTATTACTTCTGATTACTCTCATCTTTGTGTCTGTCTTTATGACTTTTCCTCTTCACAGAGAGGAACAGGCGGAGCGGCCGTCAACACCCGATGTCAACACGGAGAATGGTAGCCCTGTACGACTACGACCCCAGAGAGAGCTCCCCTAACGTTGATGTAGAGGTACTGTCCTCCCGTAGTACCAGCTATCCGCTTTGTCTTGACCATTCTCTGTCACCATCATCATGTTAACAAATGCATAAAAGCAGTGAAAGCACTGAACATTTTCAGGTGCACAGGCAGTGAGATAAGGATACTGTGTTTGTCATTTAGAAGTTCAGAATTCAAATGAATAGTTTGACATTGTGAGAAATATGCTTATTCACTCTCTTACCGAGAGTTTGATGACAAGCTTCATATTACTCTCAGACTCTATTGTCTGTCTGTTACATGTAGTGATACAGCAGCTGGTTAGCTTAGCCTAGCACAAAGATTGGAAACGAGGGGGGGGGGCAGCTAGCCTTGTTCTGTCAACAGTTTAAAAAAATCTGCCTAGCAGCACCTCTAAAGCTGACTAATTAACACGTTATATCTTGTTTGAGTGACTGTAAAAATGACAAGTTGTGCTTTTACAGCAGGCCATACTGAATTCACATAATGTCAGCAGAATGTGACGAACAGGAAAAGCTTCCAGTACACGGATCCCCACTGTTGGCCCTGTAGTTACATCACTTAAATAGCCTAAATACCTACCTTTGTGGTGTCTTATATTTGGAGCAGTTCATTAACAGGTTAAACCAAATAGAAACTAACTCTATACCATCTCTGAAATTAACTGAATCAATTGCATCAGTGTTAATATTGAGTCTAATTCATATGCAGCAGTCAGCTGTGGGGGCTTTGCAGACAATTTACCAGTGGTTTGTTGTTTGACAGTTCACCATGTGGGAGGAACCGTGGCTGTGAGAAATTCTCAATATCTACCACTTGGAATTAAAACTCAGAGACTGACATGAACTGATGTTCTGATGCATAATTTCAGTCTAAATGATAACGTCATGGTGAAGACAAGATTCCAGGAAGTTACTGCACCCAGCCAAGAAATAGTCTGGCACATAAACAAAACCACAAATTGTAATTTTTACACTTTGGGCTTTTTTTTTTTTGTTTGTTTTTTTTTTTGCATGGATTAAACAAACAAAATACAACATGGAGGTCAGCCTTGGAGGAGCTGGACGTTTTTGTTTCTTTTTTTTAACCTTTGGACAAAGCCAGGCTGTTTCACCCTCCTTCCAGTCTTTGCACTAAGCTAATTGTTTTCTTTTTATTTACCAGGCAGACATGAGAGTGGTATCTATCTCTTGACATGACAGTGTCAAGCTATTCATTTAAGTTGGAGTGAGAGTTGTATGTGCACAGTTGAGGTTGAATGAGGTGTTACAGTTAGCAGTGTGTTAACTAGAGGATTGAAAGTACTTTCCCGTGCTGTTTTTTGGCCCTTCCCCCCCGGTTTCACTTACTCTCACCTTTCTATTGGCACTGCCACCGACACAGTATGAGGGCAACAGACTGAATGAGGAGGTGAGTGAGGGTGAGGAGGGTACGGTAATGTCTGCTCTGTTTGTGTTTCCTCCCTCATTTGTTGGAGTGCAAATAAGGAGGTGGGCTCCGGATGGTGGGCCATGGCCCTCTGTCCCCGGTGGTCATGAATACAGCCCCTCATACATTGCCTGAGCCAGCATCTCCCCCCCTCGGTTTGGTCTTTTGTGTCGACCTGTCTCCTACATACTGTACATATGCTGTGTTTGGTTTGTGTGTTCTCAAAAATCCCATAGGAAAGATGTGCCCACTGTGTTGCAATCCCGTCTTCACAGTTCCAACATTTGATGCATTTACAGTTGCAACAGTCCATCTGCTGGGACTGGATTGACACTCGTGTTTAAGATGCATCACATTGATTTGGAGAAGGAAGCACAGCATTTCAAACTCATCAAACCCCAGTAGATTTGATGTTGTGGAAAGTCTTTGGCAAACTGCTGTAAACAAGAACTGAAGTACAACAGGCCAAACGTATCTCAAGGCTCTTTCTTCTTTGACAGGCTGAACTGACTTTCTGTGCCGGTGACGTCATCACAGTTTTTGGTGAAATAGATGAAGATGGCTTTTACTATGTGAGTACTAAACATCCCCATGTCTGCTGATCATCCATTTCTGGCTATTTCGAGCGCAATGCAGTAGGCATGACTTTACATAAAAACACATCTGTGCAAACTTAGTCATAGAGTTGTGGGAGGATTCATTTTGGGTATCCAAAGTGTTTCTGCAGAGACAAAAATCAGTGTCAGTTTCAGCACTACCAGCACTAGTGGAAATTCTCAAAATTTTGAATCATCAGTACAAGAAGATGATTAAGAAAGAATGTGATTTGATAAAAAAGACAAAGGTACATAAAGATTTGAGGAGAAAAGTAAACTACAGTTCCCGAGGAGCATTCCTGCTTCATTGAACTCTGACTGGATTCTTCACTTCAGCAATGGCAGCTGCGTATTGTAGTAGTTAGTGCAATCCACCATAACAGCCTGATGGGAAAAAGAAATTGTATCTGAGAGACAATGTAGAAGTAATTAAAACTAGTGGCAATAACTGAAACCCGAACAAGTGATCCTTTAGTAACGTACTGTTAGATTATCCAGGAGACTGACGTGTTTCTTTGTTGAGGATTTCATTACAAGAAAACTGCTCCATGCATGAGATAGTGTTATGTTTAGCCCTTATCCTTAAAGCCATTTCTCATGCAACATTAAAGTGAAACATGATGTTTAGAATATGAACAAGTGCTGTATGTAAACTTAGGAGCGAAATACTTTATTTAATCAGGAAGTCACATTGAGATCAAGATCTCATTTACAAGTGAAACCTGAGTACAGAAAAATAAAATAAATAACAAAAATATACAATCAACTGGCTCTAAACAACAAGGACGATGCTTCAAAAGAACAATTCTGTTTCTTTATTTCCACATCTTCTACATGGATCATTAGCTGTGAGGGTGCTGCATTTTCACTTGGGTTCTGAAGCTTTAGCCCACAGCCTATAAATAAAGGTGGACGTAGCCTCCGTGATGTCACCCATAGGTTCCTGAAGAGCGGTTTTGAAGCTCAGAGTGAGCTGCTCCACCGTCGCCGTCTTGCCAGTAACTGATTCCACCAAACTATCGGCTAATACAAAAACGGGCAAAGAGGAGGGGCACGTGTTGAGCTGAGACTTCGGTGCATGCCGGCTTGAGGCAAGAATACGCTCACCCACCTATCAGAGGTCGCCGCTTGCTTTAGCCTCAGTCTTTTAGCAAAATATCGCATGTAAGTAGCTTCAAGTGCACAATGAAGACTCCTTTACAGGCTACTCATTTCAAAATGAGTCAGCTGGAAACATTAAAAAGTCAGCAACTCATGAAGCAAAAGTTAGCGCTAGCTGCAGATGATAAAATCTGTTAGTGACAGTTGTCATTTCAGACAATAAAATCAATGGTCACCAGCTAGAAATGAGAAGCCTGACCTTACCGAACTCTGTATGAAATCAAAGACCCCGTCTTTTGATAATCAAATAATCTTGGGTAAACTGCGTATGTGCTGTGCGAGAGTAGAAAGCAACCGTAACTAAGGGAGGCAGGGCCTTAAGTAACACTTGTCTCACTGCTGTTGTGTGCTCCACAGGGCGAGCTCAATGGACACAAAGGACTTGTTCCTTCCAACTTTCTAGAAGAAGTGCCTGATGATGTAGAGGTTTTTCTCACTGACTCACCATCTCGATACCCCCAGGACAATCCAGCACGGATAAAGACCAAAAGGGTACATGCTCCTTCGCAGTACTAGCCCTCTGTCATCCATTTACTCTTTTCAGTTCCCTCTATCTCCTTTAGTTTCGTGTCTGTGCGTGTGTGTGTCTCATTGATCAAAGTACAATGGGATTTCTGACTTTGGAGCATTACACTGTAAATAAATAGATGTCTAAGATCTATGAAAAAATAAAACTTTAAGACTAATACTTGACAGAGGTACTTTTATTTTTCATGTTTACTGCTGTGAAAGGGGGGAAGTTCTGCATTGTATAATACATGGGTATATTGTATTCATAAAGCATTCTCAATGAGAGTAAAATGGAGGGGGAGAAGCTCCTGTGACTTTTTACTTGTTCTGTCATGTCTTGAAAAGAGCAGTTAACACTTTTTGCACATGCATATTTAGCATTCTGATACAGATGCTTTATGAATATATTCTGTGTTTGATCTCAAATAATTTCTAATAGAGTAAATAGTTTTGTTGTACTGAAAGATGAACTATGTAGTCTGTAGCTCAGCATGTTCTATAGTCCAGATGCATGAATTCTTGAACATTTTATATAAAGAAAAGATAAGTCTAGTGTAGTACGACTTTTGTATCTGCTCCTGAACGCCTTGTTTTGTATATTGCTTTCTTGTAAAGTAGCACGCAAAGGTCACTTAGCCTATGTTTCCATCAGAGAATAATTTCAGAAGTAATTATTTACTTAATGTAAATATGTGATGTTATTTTTGTGTTTAACAAATAATGCAATTGTTGAAATATTAATAGGTGTCATCAAGATATTTCTTTCCTTGTGTTCTAATTTGCCATTGTCATAGTGCAAACTATATTGAAATGCCATCACCATATTTTTTTATTTCTTTTCCTCACCCGCTTGGCAAAACAGAAGAAGAGTGTTCATTTCACACCTTAAAGGCTCTGTTTCCGTCACGTAAGTGAGCAACTGAGGATACCAAGATTACGCTCCCCTCGTCTAATGCAGATGACATGGGTTCCCTTAGTTTCTGGTATGCAACATGTACACTCAGTATGATGTTCCTTTAGGTAGTTTTTAGGAATCTTCCAAAACACTCAGTACTGTTTGTTGGTAGGAGAGAGTCACCCTAGCCAATGCATTAGACAAGAAGTATGGTATCTTCAGTTGTTTCTCTGAGTGTTGTACATGACAATGTCCGTCTCCTGCAATAAGTCTCCTGCTGTAACTCATGGTGAGCTAAAAGGCCATTGTTGCACAGTTACCTGCAATTATTGGAAATTTGAGTTAAAAGTAACAGCACTGCAAACATTTAGACTTGTATGACATGCTGCATCCTAGAAAATATTTACAGAAAATCTACCAATTCTATGCAAAAACCCAAAGAAAAGCGTGGAAAGTGTTCATTTGGTTTCACGGTTGTAGCGTAAGCCTCTCGCCAAATTTAGGACACATTTTCTTGTATGTAAAGAGTAATGTCAAATCGTAAAAAGAAACAGTCGTGAAATCTAAAAGAAAAAGCTAATTTTGGTCAAATCACTCAGCATTTTGGTTTTCAAATCCTCTCTAATTTGTGAATCAAGATGAACTACTGATTAGACTGCTAAATAACAGTGACCGATTTAGAGTGAGACTACGCATCTTTTGCTGAGCAGTGGCCGCAGTGGACAGAGAAACAAAGCCCCTGAGTGTATTGAATTGAGAAAGGTTGTGTTTTGTTTCTTCAGAATTTAGCTTCCATTTGTGAGTTGAAGAATGTTTTGTTATCTCAAAAGTTACACAGTCTCACTTTAAACTTGGAATAATAAAATACTAAATGCAGCAGAATGATTATATGATTTGATGTTACATGTTCTGGTGTTTAAATTATATCCACACATACTGTAAATAGAAATATAACCTTATATAAATGTAATCTTTAACCATCTGTCTTCCCAAAGTGCAATTTAAAGGAGCCTTTTAGCTCATGATTACAGAAAAGGAATAGTGACTAGTAGTTTCTCTGTAACCCAGTTGTATCAGTAAATATTTCTATATATTGAAGAGAAAGGAAAGTGAATGTGATATAAATACGTCCCACTTGTCCCAAAATGCAAATGTATCTGTTAATGTGAGAGGAACTGCCCTGCCTTTGATAGTCATTGTTGGGAAATGTTGTCACCTTACATTGATGTGAAAGTTAGTCAATGTCATGTTGTTGTAGCTTATTCATAGCAGCTTCATACAAAAGAGAAAAAAAAAAACAGTTTCTACCTGAGAGTGGGAGGGAAAGGCGAGGAGGAGGGAGGGTGTGTGTATCTATACCTGAGTGCACAAGACTACATCCAGGGAGGTAGACTTCAGAGCTATGGTGGCCCTGCTGAGACAGAAAGGACTTAAGAGAAGGAGGGGAGTAGTGACTGAGGTGTGAGAGACGGCTGGCTTTTTAACACCCTCAACTGTCCCTTACGGGTCTCCCATTAGGTTCCATTGGAAAAATCGGGTCCGCCCAGAAGAGCAGCCTCTCCCACAGTGCGTCCACACATCCCTGGCTCTGGCCCTGCCACCGTGGGGCCCGGCAGTCCCATCAGGGCCCCAGTGGACATGTACTCCTCCAAAAAGAGAAAGGGACTGCTCTCCAAAGGGAAGAAACTATTGCAAAGACTTGGCGCTGTAAAATAATTTCTTGACATACTTGCGAGAGTGTCATCCACTTCCTTGTAGTGTTAAAAAAAAAAAAAAAAAAAAAAAAAAAAAAAAAAGAATACAGTGGACAGGTAGCATTTGTGAGCTTAGCAAATGCTTTATTCTTGTACATCTGTTGTATACTAGAATATTTGTATTTTGTTAACGGTATCAACTACATATTTTCAACAACACATTTCATATTATGGTCCCGAGACCTCATGGTGTCGGCCAACGTAGTATTGAGTATCTAACCTCCAAGTCTCTGGCTGACGACGTTTTGCTGTAGACAGAGACCGAGCCGGGGGCATTCTCCATTTGCACTTGGTCAAGTCTGATGACACTTAATACACCACATTATGAGTCTGACCAGTGTCTCTGTATACAGGAACCAGAATATCACTCAAACAGAGGGCTCAGTTCAACCCTGGAGTCCGTTTTGAATCTGAGGAAAAAGCTGGACTTGTTGGGCCTCGACTTGAACTTGTTCAAAACAGCCAGTTGCGTAAATGGTATGAGAGGTTTGCATGCTTTACTTCAGCACATTCCCTCCTGACCCTGTGAGAGCGCATGCGATGTGATGGGCTCAGTATGGAAACCTGGAGCATGCAGTACTTTTAATAGAGCGTGGCAGACTCGCTGTGCAGTTTACTGTGACAAATCAGCAGAATTTACTCCTACTCTTCTGCCCTATCTTAAAAAAACTGTAATGGCGGCAAGTGCCCCCCCCCCCTACAAACATGTCAGACACCTACAAAACAAGCACATACTGTTCCTACTACAGGGTCTCTGCAGTAAAATGAGCCTGAATGGAAATGCCTAGTAGATCCAACCTTCATGTATTTGCCTTATAATCGCACAATGGTTAGTACCTTGTCCAGTGGAGTGTGCAGTTCCATGCAAACTATTTGTTTATCTTGTTACATCATAACACAAGCTCTGTTTGCAGATGTTAATCCTGACTTGTGATGTGCAGGGTATTGTGTGACTGTCGTGATTTCAATAGGACAAGAGATTACACATAACCGACCAAGACTCCTGTGTCTGCAATGTCCATAGTCCATAGTTAAGCCCAAATAAGAAAAAATGATTCTTAGAAAATAGATCATTCAGAGGATAAAATTCTCCCTGAATAACCAAATTCTGGCGCTACTGAAGAAACTTTTTTATTTCAGTTGAGTTTTTGGTGCCATACTGATGCGCATCTGATTTAATACAATTACTACTCTTCAAAGAAACAATATTACATAATCAGATTAAAGAACAAATAGAAGTAGTTAATCTGTGTGTCAGCAACTGATGTCCTTTTGTTGTAATGCATTTGATTCATAACATGCAACACTTCCGGGCTTCACTAGAAGACTAAAAGTTTGACTCCTTTCACAGTAGTGAGACACAAGGCTACCTCTATGCTGCCCCTCCACCCCCAAATCTATTAGATCTGAAATATGTTTATTCAAGCCAATCTGTCATTGATGCCTGTTCAGTGTGTCCCGAGTAATGTTGGTGCAGGATACAAGTACTGTAAATCAATATAATATATATATCTACACCTTAATGTAGAGTAGTGAATGTATGATGAATTGAAAGCCAATGTATTTTCAAAGCTGCCCAAAAGGATTGTGCAGATGTCCGTCTTTGTGCGTGAAATGAAACAGTCCACTTTTATCTCCTCACACCATTCTGTTTTCCATTTCATCCTCTCATGTATTTTAAAATCTAGCCTATTTTTTCTACACACAAGAGTTGAACTGAAACTGCCAAAAAAGAATGTATGCAAAACATTCTGTAATACTTTCTGTACAATTCTCGGCCACCTGATGTACATCTTTTCCTATTGATGGACCATGTCCTCACATTGCTTCTATTCATTTTGAGTGACTGTTGCTCTTTTTGTACTTTGTCCATTTGTAAAATTGTTTTTAAATGTTTATACTTGATTTTCAAACTGCCTTTTTTGTACATTTAACTTTATAATCAAACAGTGCAAGCTTTCCCCATGGTGTCTTGAAGACCATATTGTTTAAAAGTCTGCAATTGTGTGCTAGCTTTATGATAAGAATTATCAGCCTATATTAATGGTTACAAATTATTGTGTGGGTGTGCATGTGCAATCTTTTCTAAAAAAAAAAAATCTAAATAAATTTGATATTTTGTAATGTTTGCATGTCTGATTTAACTTGAAAATGCATAAAGGACATACCACACAAACAAATATTTATTAGAACCATTTGCAAAAGTAGTAACAGTTCTTAGGACCTAGAAGTTATTAACAGAAAGTTGAATTTCAGCATGTCTTTACACCCCAGTATGGAGGACAGCCACTTGTATAATAAACAGATAAAGAAACAGTCTAGGTTCCCCTACAAAAAAAGCTTTTCTTAGATATTTTTCTGCACTCGAAAGGAAAAACCCCACATTAACTTAGACTAGCAATGAAGATATATTAATTACATGTAATATTGTTGATAATATTTCTTTGTCCAGAACATGCCAGAATCAACTCTCACTGATCAGGTTACTTGTGCCATTTCACTGTCAACATCTTCATCCAGCTTATGTGATCCTCAAGTGCATTTCCAACAGTACACAGGTGCCCTTTGACCTCTGAATTGTGGCTTTGTCTTTACATTAGACTTAAATGTGTAGTTTTATACACAGGGCTATCTGACTCAGTCTGATGCTACAAATGCAAAACTCTTAGCATCATCAAAACTTAACTTACATTCATTTAAACTGAAGAGAACTTTTCTCACAAAAGTTCACATACATGAAGTTCTTTTCAAGGAAACTTTACAGTCATAGCCGAACAAATTGCTCATCTTTTGAATCCTTACAGGTAGAAGAGGAGGTCGTCCAGTTGCACATTGGGCTCCCTGTGGATGCTCTGACCCACAAGGAAAGCCAACTTGTGGGCGTACTGGCAGGGAGCGGGCACTCTGATGATCCCCTAAAGCCCAAATGCAAAAAACGTACATCATATTTTGTATGACTTAATCACGCTGACTTTTATTGGGTTACATCATGCTGGCTCTGATCATCTGTTATTCTTAATAAATGTCACAAATTCAGTAACAGCAAAACAACATTTATCATCACAACTGCACTAATACATTTCAAACCTGTAATCTGTGGAGAAACTATGAGAACACCCATCCAAGGTGAAAGGCACACTAACACGGGGATTTCAAAGCCATCCTACCTGCCAGTTGTAGTACATGTGGCACAGCTTGTACGTAAGCCGCTGCATATGATCGGGCTTCAGACCGCTGGTGTCGTACACAACGTTGTAGTGGGTTGGGGAGACGCTTCCGGTCCTGACAGCCTGGCTCACGATGTAGAAGTCATACCTGACAAAGGCTGCGACAGTTAATAACTACCACTAAATACATAAATGAAAAGATGAAGGAATAGCCAAGAAACACACCACTCAGGACGGGTGACATCTGAGTCAACGATGGTGCCTGGGAGAGGGTTGGTCACTTTGCCATTGATGTGGGCGAAGAACCTGCAGCTGATGCGCTTCTTCACCACCACCACACTCAGCTTGGGCCTACGATGAGCAGATGGAGACGCTCCGTCAAAAATTTACAGGAAAATTTGTTCAAGTTCTTTTAGTGTGTGAACTCCCCCGCATTCAAACCAGAGTCAATATCCGTTGCTCAGTTGTTGACATGGCTTGTGTTTCAGCACCTGCTGTTCTTAGTGACATTCATGAGTCATTCCCATTGGAGATTAAACAAACAGCTTCAAAGTGCAGCAGCGTTTCTTTAAGAGGAAATCTTTGCACATGAAAAACTCACGAGTAGTCATGCCCCATGGACTTGATGGAGTCCATGATCTGTGAAACCTCATAGTTAACCACGCTGTGCAGCTGGCCATCTCCCACTCCATCTCGGTACACAATGATGCGTGAAGGTAGGCAGTTGTTAAACTTCAGATAGTCTTTTAGTGCACCTGGAAGACAAAGTTATTCTGAGACTTTTGACAAAGAAGTATTGTGCAAAAATTAAGGAAAGCAACTTACCACTTAAGGCCATCTTCAGTCCATCCATGATTTCCTGACCTTTGTGCTGCAACACACACTTTGAAAACCACCTTGACAAAGAAATTGAAAATATCACACGACTTACTGGATGTACTATTGCACTAAACCAAAGATAGGGAGGTCACCAATACGAATACTGTAATGCAGACCTGTGCACATGTTAAGCACAACCTAATTCAGACTGTAGATCAAGGTACAGTAACTAGTGTCACCACTCAACCCATGATGACACACAGTTGCCCATCTCTGTTGAAGATACTAACCTGCTCATGCCCTGGTTGAGGCTGGCAACTAGAGCTCCAATGGACCTTTTCCCAGCTATAGTGTCATGGTAGCAGTCAATGCCCACAATCATCAGCTGTTTGAGCTGCAGGTGACAAGTTATCAGTACAATGTTAGCATTACATCATTACTTCTTATTTGTTGTCTTGTGTATTTTTTACCCCAACCTTACCCTTTAAAATGACTAATTGTCATGGAAACTAATGCATCGCCTGCTTCGTCAGCCTTGGACACATAATTTCAAGAAGTTACAGATGCATTCACTAACCACTGCCAGCCGTGAAACCTTATGAGTGACATGAGTAGAGCTATCTGTAAACAAAGCTCATGCCCCAAAATGCAGCTCCTTGTGACATCCTGTTTAGTGTCTTGTTTAAATGTGAAACTGTGACAACAGTTCGTGAGACATTACATGGTACCACTTTCATTCTCTGCTCTAAAACAACTTGTGACAGCTTAATCCGTTCAAGAACTACTTGAATCTTGTTTTCCCGTAACACAGCTTGACTTTTATTTTCTTTGATGTACAAATTACTGATGACTTAATGACTTACAGGGATTTCCACGCTCCAGAGCTCTCCTCCCATCTTGCAAGCCATCTGTAGCGCAATCTTGGTAGCCACAGTCATGAGCGCCTGAGGTCGGCTGAGGGTACGGGATAAAACACACTGGCTGGGAGTGGGGCAGTCCACACAAAGGTACTTCTTGACGCTGTCGTACTTGTCCTTCCTGTTGCTGGGGAGGACCACCACCACCTAACAAATGGCAAACAGTGGAAGGTGTTGTACTGCTTTTATTAATGGAGCGCACATCTGCCTCAACACACACACACAGCAAACATTAAATTCACCCATGGTTCACAAGGAATGTTGCATAACTGACTAAATAAGAGGAAAAGGTTAATGAATGTGATCTGCTCTGCCTTCATCTATTATACATTTAGTCACTAACCATCTGTATTTGGGGTCCAACATTGTGCTGCAGAGCTCTGAGGAGAGACTCCTGATGATCCTCGTACTCAATCCTGAATAAGAGGAGAGCTCAGATGATTAAATTACATAATCATAAGGTTGGTTGATATGACCAAAAATCAACTGAACAATTTAGTTAACTAGTCAATACAGACAATGAAGTTAAATCGTTACAAATATTTAACTTCCAATTCTAAATTAAACATTCAAATAACATTTTAATATTTCAGAAAAAACTGTGTCATGCTCAGAAATTACTTTCTTTCTGGAGGGGAGGAAAAAAACCCATTGACAACTATGATAGATTGCACTTGTGCTAGAACTCACATGACTGCTCTCTGCAGGCGGATACCGAGTGGGTTTGAGACTTTGTTGAGGGTCTGCAGGAGGGACTGAGCTTCGTTGGTGTTACGACGTGTGTAAAAGATGAGCCAGTTGTTCAGCGGAGGAGAGTGGATCAGAGGCACCCCGCGCATCTCTCTGGACCAGTCAGCTGCCGTGGGGTTGTAACCATACTAGGTGACACAAATATTTATGTTAATCTCTCAATTAAGATCATATAAATAAATCCATTTAATTAATTAAAAAGAGCAAATTTATGTAACCACAAGCAAATTATACCGATCTTGATCCCTGGAAAATCCTCTCCGCTGGGAGCATTCTGCCAGTCAGATTTAGGAGTTGCTTATCAAAGTTGAGTCCCCACTTATCCAACTCTGCCTGTGCGTCAGCATTCCTATGAAATAATTTTCAGGATTTAAATCAAAGCCTGGGATTATACTGCCTGAAGATGTTGACAGAAAAATGTACTACTCCAGCTTCTGTGCATATGAACAGACTAACAACACAAGCTGCTGAGATGAACACAACTTTTAGAGAAAACAGTGCAGAGGCTTCATGATCAATTGAAAGCTACATCTAAAATGTGGATAAATGACAGCATTTAAAAAAGGCAGGAGTCTATGTGAACATTTGACAAATAGCATTTGTGATGTGTATAACTTCTCCACTGACAAAAGGAGCTAATGATGAGTAATTAAGATTTTAAAAGCATTGAAATCACATCTTGGCTGGCTGTGAATTCTGACAATATAAACAGTGCGTCTTTTCCATATTTCTCATATTGCTACAATGTGCGCTCTCTGTTAAAATTAATGAGTGCTTGCAATATTTCTGTCTATGAAACTTTTGGCAGCGGGTACACAGATTAACATGGTTAGATCAGTGAGACATTATCACCTACTTCTGTATATTGGTGACAAATCTGTTGAGACGTCCCTCTCTCTGCTCTGGGGACAGTCTAGTGTGGCCGCTCAAGTCTTTCATGATATTATAGTCAGATCGCATCTTATCCGTCAGTCCTGTCAAACACATTCATAAAACTTGTGACAACTTTCACTTTATGATCACTTTACCATGGATGATATCTAAACAACAAACTAACTGTCGTCTCCAACAACCAAACAGGGATTTCAGAATCCTTTACGCTCTTGAATGTTGTCTTGGAACAGAAGATTGTACTGGTCAAACCTTTCACCTTCTCATAATATACATTTAATACCACACAGATTCTGTAGGTGGAGCGATAAATGTCATAAATGTTGACATCTTAAGTCTGAGTTTAGAGTCGAATACGACAGAATAATGCAGAAACCTGTGAGGAAGCACAGCTCTGGGATGAGCATGGCCGGGCCAGGAGGAGCAGCTCCAGCTGGACCCTGCCTCTTCACGTGGCTGACCAGCAGCACCTGGTTCCCATCAGTGATGTCCAGGCCATATTGCTTAAAACAAACAACAGGAGTTTGAGATGGATGCATAATTCAACACTTGTTTTAATCGAAATTTGCAGTGTTTCATATTATTTGCCCAAACCCCATTGCTTTCGTTCTTATATTTGAGTGTAAATGTCATTTGTATGCATCTGTTGACGGTTTGTGTCAACTAGTTTCCTGGTTATACCAATACTTATGTTGAGTGTATGACACCTACAGTCTTGTAGTAGTTCTTGAAGGAAATATCTGTGTCTCCCCTCTTGAATGTGTTGTTGGGAGTGTGATCCCATGCAATGTCATCAATCCTGTAGGTTTTGTTGTTGTACCTAAAAATTAAGAAGTAAACAGCACATGTATTAAATGTAAGTAGTTAAGGTTACACTGAGGTGCTTTAACACTGAATGATAAAACATCACTTCCAAGCGCAGTATAATAAAGATATAGCACTGTCATATGAATACAAATATTTGTGTGTGAGATGTGGATCCTACTTGGTGAGGACTATTAGTCCAACAAGCTCCTTAGTGCAGATCTCAGGGAAGCGTTGAGGTCCACACTGCTGCCTCAGGTTCGCCATAAAGTCTAGGACCGTCTCACTACGCAGCACTCTGTGGCTCACGTCAGTACACAGCATGATCGCCGACTCATACTGCAAGATGGTGGTGGTGTAGCCTGGCCAGATGGTCAGCCTGAGATAAAGGACGGGATCATTATTTTTCATCTCTAATGAAAAAGTCGCTTTCCATCATTGAAGATTGCTCATTAACACTACTTCAGATAACTGGGCTCTACTATGGCTCCTCACTGGATTTAAAGCTTTTAAGATTTTAGTATTTAAACACCAGGACAACTTTTTTCAAAAAAACTCAGCAATAGTCATTCACATTATCTGCTTCTAAATGGGTAGCAAAGCATCAGGCCTTTTCAGACTGCATTTCCTACACAGTATACAAAAGCTCCTTATAGAAAGCAAAACTAACTTCTTTTCTTTTTTTGAAGAACAGTCTGACTGCACGAGTTTCCCAATTTTGAAAATAAAAACATTTGTGAAGACTTTACTAATGAAGGCAAAGTTGTTGATGACCTTTTCGTAAGGCTCAAGTTAAAAAAAACACTGTGCTCATTCAAAGTTAGGCGATATGCATTGAAAAATAATGACATGCGATTTAAAATGTTGCACTTTCTGGTGTTAATATACATCACTGCCATTAATTTACTTGTTCGAGAATCTAAAGCTTATTTTTTAGACATTCATGGAAGATCATATTAAAAGAAAAAAACTTAAAAAATCTTAATACATACTTTGTGTGATAATGCTGTATGAAAGAAAATTATACTGAAGAAAATGTATTACCTGTGCTGAGGGATGTTGAGTGGATCACTGGGATTGTAGTAGTTGCGTCCAATCTGCTGCATATTGAGAATTCTCAAGATCCTGCAGAGACAACATAACACCATTAATGTAAAGTTTGTAAGTTTCAAGGACGCAAAATGTATGGGTATCTAAGCTTTTTTAATCAGATGTAAAGATTTACTTTCATTTGCACATGCAACAACCACATGTACGCTAGTCACAAGTAAATCCAATTATTGGAGGATTTTTCTTTGGCTTGTACATTACCCATTTCAGTCCTTACTGTGCATTACTTATTTTGAAACTGGAAAACTTGCCTTCTGAATATGATGTTGTAAAACTGAATACACACTGGTGAAGTGGGTGGCAGTTCATTTGTCAGTGTAACAGTTATCTGAACCTTCTCCCCATTCCTCGTTTCGCTGTGGAGCACAGTCTCCTAAACACAAGGTTAGACACTTCTATAAAGAGCCAGAAAACTTTCATTACTTTATCACTGTTATTACTGTTGTGGTGTGCGGCTAGGCTTGGAGTATTAAAGTACCTTGCCGTGCAATCTTAGGGGCAGAAAGAGCAGAGCTCCATCAAAGCTCCGTGCTGAGCCAAGAACTTCCTCATGCTGGAAGAGAAGGGCAGATCTCAGACGACGAGACTCCATTGCTGGTTTGAAGTCCACGTGGTACTGATATAGAACCCACTGAGGGCGGGACATGATGCGAAAGAAGTTGGCTGTCAACGGAACGGGATTCCCACTTGCACCTGTGGAAACATATATACAATTCTAAGGAGTAGTCTATTATCCTCTCCAATTACAAAATGTGCATCTTCTGAATGTGTCTCTGATTGTGCATTTCAAATAATGACCGACCACACTTTGATTCCTTGACATGCTCCATAGCCTGCCGGGTGTTAACCCCTGCATCGTGAAAATCCCGGCGGCGTCCACCTCTTTCGCCGAGCTTCACCTGCTGAAATCCAGCTGAAATCTGTAGAACAGCTAATAAAAACATATTCAGACCATCAAGACCAGTTTTCACACATTATCATGCAAAAATCAGACCAAAAATAATGTAATTCACTGTATGAACTCTGGAGTAGTACACATTTTATAATCCTCAGAACATACATCAGGCATAGGTAAAGCATTAGGCATGTAAAATCAACAGGTGGAGTAAACACCTTTATTTAAATCTCATGGTTTGAACCCAATTCCCCTGCACAGCACTCCTTACCATGGTTAACTTTGCTCTTAGTCTGCAGAAGGTGCAATAAATGTGTGAAAAACAGTGCATTCATATTTGCACCGTAAGACTTTTTCCAATCCAATTGTTTAATTGCATTATCAGGCAGACTTTCAAAAAAGAAGAACAGCCAAGAACATTTGGCAAAATAAAGTATTATGACTGAGCTTTACCTTCTGCAGAAAATGGCCCTGGAGCACCTTTCTGCCTCCCTCTACCAACCAGCTCCCCCTCTGCAGGAGGAATGGCTGCTGGTGCAGGCTCTTGAGCCTGGCTCTTCAACAAAGAAAAAGGCGTAAATGGTCTGATGTTTTGAAGGGATGACAGTCAGTTCTGTTATCCTATTTGAGCCTCTTGTCCGTTGCATTCAGTGTGACTGAGCTGAATATGCAAACAGATTTCCATTTCAAACCTCCCAAGCAGAATTAATCCAATGAAAGAAAATTGTATCATATCCAATACAAGTTGCTCACCTAACACAAAACTTCTCATCTAAGCTTGACTCTGAATTTTGCAGCCTACTAATTATTATTCAAAAAATGGCATCTCCAGACCCTGACAACGTTTAATATCAAACTTTTGAGGAAAGGTAATAATTTCCATTGTGTGCCATTTACAATATGAAAAACAGAAGCAACAATTCTGTGTTTTGTGAACACTCCCTAGTCACCAGTTTTTAACGGAGACCATTTCTGGATGCACTTTCACAATAAACACACCCTTCAGTCTTATATTATCATCACAGCCAAGTATGGCATCACCATCATCATAACCATCACTGTCAGGAATATGTTTCTATTGATGCTGCATTTGTATGATACTCATTTCTTCTCCAAGAACTGCCTCTCTAGGGAACAGTGAGGTCTGTGGATCATACTGAGTAAGAGGAAGATTATTTAGATGACATTTCATTACTGAGCATCACAGCCGAAAATACTTCACATCCAAGTTATCTTTATCACTTCCTGAGATTTCAGTACAAGCTGCTCTTACAGCTCCAGGTGCTGTAGTCTCTTGACCTCGTGCTCGGCCTCTTGATCTTGCACGTGCCCTACCAGTCATTTTCGGGCAGTCTCAAATGGTACAACTATTTGAAAGAAAAACACTGTCAATAATTCAAAATTATGATCAAAGAACTAAAGAAATATTCAGAAAGTACATATTCTGACGAGCCGCTTTAACTAAGTTTTCAAAAAGCAAATTTGCATCAGAATAATTTGAACATGATACACGAGTTACAAGAATAATGCAAAGTTGCACATGCAGACGTTAAACGTGATGCAGTACTCCTCTTGCCCTATGGCGCCTGCTAATTGTTCAGTTCAGAAACAGCCAGCGGTCAACCGGCTAGGCTATGGTCGGGCTAGCTAAGGATAGCATGCTAACAAAAGCTAACACCAAGTAAAACCGGACTTTACATTAACATGGTAGGACACTGAAAAATATTACTTTTTGTTTTTGTGCATTAGCATGTTGGTTAAATCCGTTGATCTCCATTGCTGACATTAAGTTACAATAGTCTTATGTTAACTTAGTGGACTGATTTTACTTACTAATTAACATTAATTAGCAGAGGTGTGCCGAATATGACCTCATTAGCTGGCTAGAGCGGTATAATCTCGATTAAATCTAAAACAAATCAGATTCACTCGCACAATTTAATGTCATGGTGACACATGCTATATTAATTTGAACAGTTTTACCCACCTTTGATAAAGTTTCTCGCAACTCAGTTCTCACTGATAAAAATTCGCTGCAGGTGTAATCTCAATGAAGAGAAGAAATTGCGGCAATGTAGTCAAAGGCCTATTCACTGAGAAAATTAATACGCTTGTAATTTTTTTTTACTTTCATTAAACACTTCACACATTTACATATTGTATCACTGTGTATTACAGGTACAGTTGCTCAGAATGAATGAATATAATAAAGACGTTTTAGAAAAGCTGCTGAAATAATTAATAAAAAAAAGCTGGGACTACTTTTTTAAGCGCACCGATCCGTTTAACCTAGTGCTGTTGTGTTGTCTGTCTGTTTTTAACTGTGCGATCTCAATTGCCACCATCAGATGGCAGCAAAGCTCGTACAGTAAACGGACCGACTGGGTTACCGACACCCACTTCACTGTCACTGATGAAACTCAGAGCTCTGATACACATAATCTTGGTGTTTTATAGATCAGCAACAAACTGGCAAATATCCAGTTGAGCTTGTCAGCTCACTGTGAACAAGGACATTTTCCAAAATATCACGTTGACCTCTTGTCATTGATCATAATCAGTAGGTAAGAAGTAGTCTAAGGTGAAAGGGTGAACTAGTGACTTCTAGTTTGTGAAGAACATTGCATGACAAATTCTATGTTAAATCATTTTAAAGGCATTTATTAATGCTTATTTTCATGATAAATTTTGTAAATTTAAATCAAGCTTATGTCAGGTTTAATCAGTGTGTAGACTAAGCGAAGGTGGATTTAACCTGTAAGTAAATGTTGAAGAAATCAGTTTTAAGGGGGCCTGTAGGCCTTTTAATAAGGCCTAAACTGATTCAGACTGAAGGTATGAATGAAATTAAAGTGTGACCATGAGTGTTTCCTCAAAAGCATTGACTGATTGACCAAAACTGAATGATTGATTAAGTATTGACTGCCTTTTATGATGATGTACACAATTAATTAAGACATGGGGGCTTGCTCCAAGACTAACAAGGTTTTGTGTCTGGAGTTGATCATTCCCTTTCTTATGAAGTTTAACTATGATGAAAAAATAACGGTTCAGGAATGTGTTAAGGATGCTTTGACAAAGCCAAAAAAAAAAATCCTCTCATGTGCTCCTTTTAAGATGCACCTCATCATGAGCTATTATTTCTTCCCAAACTTTTCCTCTCTTCTCCACATCCTACCATTTGAAGCAGAACTTGGCAACTCAGAGGGCATTTTTAGGAAGATGTACGCAAGTCTTTCATGTCTGAGATCTAAGAGTGATTACAGATTCAGACCTGAGGGACCTGCTTCAGTCACTGTTTACCTGCTGGAAAGAGACCGAGCAGGGATGAAGAAATAGGCAGGGACATCAGTGTCATCAAGCCAAGTCGCACTGAGACACAGAAACCCACTAGGGTGTATTTGTCCATGAGCATGTTAACAGTTAGAAAATTACAATTCAGCATTACACACACATGGTAATATTATGTTGCCAAAATGCTGAACAATATGGGTCTGACAAATGGTCCAGGACTGTAAAAGCTTTGATTAAAAAAAAGAGCGGTTTTCTTCAAAAACAACGCTATCTCTTAAAAAACAGCAAAGGCCACTGAAAAACAGTAAAAGCGAAAGAAAAAGAAAAAATCGTGGCTAGGGAGAGGGCTGCAAGCTGAGCGGTGTGAGGCTGAGAAAGGTGCACCCTGCCAGGGACGTTGATGAATGCGCTTCAGGCTTCAAGCTCGCCCTGCAGCCCCCAGCAGTGTGGATTCCACGCTTACGCTAATCATGCTCTGCAAGATACTACGGCCCAAAACTGATGAAAGGAAACATGCAGCACAGTCAGTATATCAAACTGGATGCACTTTCACAATATACACACCCTTCAGTCTTACATTATTATCATCACAGCCAAGGATGGCATCATCATCATCATCATCATCATCATCATGACCACGGACCAGGAATATGTTTCTATTGATGCAGTATTTGTATGATACTCATATTCGACCTCAATTCCTGTTGGAAACATGAAAAACAAATCAGGATCAAAGCCTCTGTTTTAAATAAATAAATGAACAAATAAAAATCACAGTGGCCCCATGAAGCCTGAACCCCTGATTGCAAAATCAGAACAAGAGGGGATTCTGAATAATAAGGATCTACCGTGCCATGATATCAGTAAGCGGGTTAGGAAAATTAGATTATTCTCTTGCCTGCCGTGGAACCTAATCTGCTCTGCATCAGTCTGTTCCCCCTTAAAAAGACGCAGGTACTGCATCACACACACACACACACACACACACACACACACACACACACACACACACACACACACACACACACACACACACACACAAAATTGGACCATGGATTTCTAAAGCCCATGCAGAATAAGCAGTCAAACCAAGCATATAGTATGGTGAATCTAAAACAAATTAGTGTTCTCTCTATAATAAAGACAGAAAACACTATAACAGTTTTAGGCTTTGTCAGCGATGGTGCACAGTTGGTATTGTCAAAGTCACAGAGGCTCACTTCCAAAAGCAGTCCTCCAACAGAAAGAGAAGATCATTTCCAGGCAGATTCTGAATGAAAAATACCATAAGGGATGGTTTCTTCCCCAAAACATTAATGATTCTCCTTTATAGATGAAAAAGTTTGTTGCCTTGAATGATTAATAAGCCATAAATTGTACTTTATCTATATTGAATACAGCCAAAGTCAGAGTAAAAAAAGACAAGCAAAATATTTGAATGAGTGCCGACCTATTGGAAATAAATGAATTAAGAGGCTTTTTTTTTGCAGCATTGTGACTCTCATGAACATTGTTGTTTTGACTGATAAATATTGTGAAATATAAAATATTATTAATGGTGACATAGAATTATATGAATACATCTGACGCCACCAACAGATTTGACATCAGATGAAAACTGAGATGACTCAGTGACGCCTGAGCAAATTCCTCCACTAAGGAAGAATAAAAGCTAGTAAGTGGATCTTGAGTTCAGCTCTTAACTGTGTACACTCTCTCACCATTCACCATCTTCATCTCCAGTGTAAACTGGAAATGTTATGTTCATCACATTATAACTTTTGACTACATTGTGCTATTTTTCTGCAGAGAACTGACAGATTTCAATGAATTTGTTTTTTAATCTTAATCCCTTTATGTGTTTTATGTGTTACCATGTATGCACAATGCATACAGTATATTCTTTCCATTTTGAGGCCCTGGTATATGTATACTTACAGGGAAACTCAATATTATAAACTGTCTGAGTAGTAAAGATGATGAATGAATTTTTTCTACTAACCCCATTTTTTCCAAGTTTCCCATGTGGACGCTGAAACTCTGGGCAACAAAGTATCTGGCAAGACATCATTTGAGAGCTTGTGGGTCAAAGTGGCCATAAACAGAGGCTAAGCCAGGAACAGATGAGGGAAGTCAAAGATTTAAATCATTGTCACATATTGTATAATCCCGACATTCTCGTCCATGTCTTTCAACAACACTATCTAGTAAACCAAACGGCCATGAAAATAATCCACACGCACTATATCTGAATTGCTATATACAGTATATAAAACCAAAACATTTACTGTGTACGCACAAATCATCATCATGGCTTTCAAAATACAGAAGCTTTTATTCATGTTTGATTTGATTCAGTCCCTTATCCACACTTCCTCCAAGCATGAGCGCCAAGGACATATCTCATTCAAGCTCTATTTTGTTCAGCATTTGGCAAATACTATTTCCTGTTCATTTGATAACAAAAACCTCTGGCTGGTGGCCTTGACATGTTACAGGATTATTTGTGTATACAGAAAAAGGAAATCTAGGTACAAAAGGATATGCTTGAATGGGCATGGATTTGTCCACTGAATACTGCAAAGGTGAAAAGTAAACATTGTCAATCACTTGTGAGTTTGCTTCTAATGGCAAGAAAGAATTTGAGTATTTTTTTTTAGGTTGATATGTTTGTGAATATGCTTGGTGTGTGTGTGTGTGTGTGTGTGTGTGTGTGTGTGTGTGTGTGTATTTTTTTTCATTTTGGAAATGCGGGGGGTAAAGGCAGTGGGAGCAGGAGGAGGAGGAGGAGGCCTGTGCTGACCGTAGCAGAGTCCTGCAGAGGCAGAGCCCCCTCTGAGCCAGCCTCAGTGAGGATGCCATGTGATCTCTGAAAAGTCAACAAGGGTTGGTCCACAGCTGGGCTGCAGGAGAACAGAGAGCAGACACGTAGCAACACCCTCCTGCTGGGAGAAGCCGAGGAGACGGAGGACGCGCAGCCTGCCTGTGAATCTACTGTAGATTTCTTCCCAATGCAATGTGAGCAGACTCATCTCCCCAAATTCAGTT